TGTGTCTGCCTAACTTAAAGAGAAGGTGACTTCAGCAAATGTGGTATGAACAGATTTCCTCACTGTCCCCGGGTGCAAACCCTGCTGCTTCAGTTTGGTGCCTCATCAAGAGGAGATACAAACGGGAAGCTCCCCAATTCCCTGAATTTGGGCAGTTTCCACCCTGGCTCTCCTCCAAGGAGGCACGAGGGAAAAGGACAGTGTCTTTTCGTGCGGCTGGGCAAGTCAAAAGCCCAGCTGTGCTGCAGAATGGGACTCGGCAGATGCTTCAGGGCTGTCGCTGTGGGTTAGTCCCTTCCCCAGCTGCAGTTCATCAGCGTTTGTGGAGGTGTGAGGCTGCATCTGCCTTTAATTGGGGTAGATAAACTGCCAGCAAGCCAGATTCCTCGGCATGTCTGCACACGGCTTGTGCAGGGCTACAGTCTCCAGCTGATCCTTGCTTAAAATGTGTCCACAGTGATTAAGAGATGCCCTTCCATTATGTTTTTTACTTCATGATTTTTCCCCCCGCCCTTGAAAAATAATTGGAATATTGCACCCGTGCAGCACACTTTGTAGGTAGGTTTCAGAGCAGTTTACAGCTAAGAGCTAAATATGAGGCAGGGCTGGGATTTAAAAAAACAATAAATTCTGTCTGGAAGTGTTGAAACTCTTTGAGGGAATACGTATTTCCCTTTAAAAAAAAAAAAAAAAGAAAAAAGTGCCTTATCACTGCTTTAAAAGGCACTACTGTGATCTAAACGTGAAGGTTTATTTTCTGGATAGAAACAATGCTTTATTTGGCTTATTCTAAAAAGCTGGAGAATGTAAAAGAAAACGTCAGAAGTTGAGGCGAAACATCTTGAAATTGTTAGAGCAGTGTGTTTTGGATAATGGGCTTGTGAACATTTTTCAGATATAGTTTTGCTTGAAGGCAGATGCAGAAATGCCAAACTCTTGACAGCAACTCAAGTGTGGAAAGACCATTTTGCCATTAGCTCCAGGAGACAGGATCTTCCCGTCTTGCTCATGGGCAACTTCAAGGATGGATGGAGACTGACTTGGCTGCCCAGTCCTGGGATGGCTCAGGGAATGGAAACCAGGCTTCCAAATCTCAGGCCAGTTCTCTTTTGCTGAGGTAACACCATTCTCATCCCTCCCTGCCCTTCATCCCTGAAGGATCCATCAAGCTGCTGACACTAATAGACACATGTTGAAAGGCAGCCAAGGTCACTTGAAGAAGCCATCAAGGAAGGGTTTCATGGGCGACTTTGTTCATGCCAGATCTGCCCTCCAGGTGAGGTTTCACAGTTCTTTGTTTCTAATATGGTTTCCTCATGCCAATCACTACTGCTTTGGTTAGGTCAACACATACTACTAAGACTTTCCATTTCAAACTGTTTTTGCTATTTCTGAAAGGGGAGAGAGTGTCTCAAGCGAGCAGGAGGTTGTCCCAGGCGACCTCCTGAGGTCCTTTCCAACTTGAGTTTTCCCTGTGACTCCTGAGCCCAGAGAAATGCCTTGAGCTCTGCTTTCTTCCCTCAGAAAAGCACATGTAGACTGCGGGGGAATTTCCTCATAACCCCTGTTGGTTACGTTCGGGGCTATGATGCGAAGTCGGGCTAGATGGGCTGCTGGCAGGAGTTTTGTTTTGGACTGCAGTGGTGTCTCGCGTTCCCCTGCTGTTTATGTCTCCCAAGTCTGACTCAAACCCTGCAAAAGCCAAGGAAAAGAATCCTGGTAGCTCACTAGGTATGAAGTTGCTCCTCCCCGAAGGATAAGCTCCTGGTAGGCCATCATTTCGTAAACATAGCTGCCTTCTGGGCTGCGGGTGAACTGTCCCCAAGCAGATGGGGTTTTAGGGATGGTAACTCAGGCACGCACGAACACGTGTCATGCTGCTGGTGCCGCTCAGATGGCCTGCGCTGTGTCACCATCACCACGTATTTTTGGCCCCTACCATGTACCTGTTGCACCTTTTCCACTTGCCAAACACTGTTGTCTTTTCTTGGGCAGAAGCAATGGGAATATTTTCCTCCATTTGCTATCCTCTTCATTTTTTACCACTTTGAGCAAGTGACTGCTCCTCTTGAGGCTTATAGAGAGGTAGGATGTTTCACCAGACCAGCTGTTAGGAAAACTCAGCAATCTTCTGGCCACCTGATTCCTTTCTGGGGGTGTTTAGCCCAGCAAAAAGGAGCTGGGGGAGCTTGTGGTGGTTCCCCCTATGGGAGGACAACTCTCCCTACATGTGTGGCAGTAGGACGTGCAGTTTTTAAGGCAGGGAAATGTTTCTGATAATCCATAAGTTGAGTAACAAGGATTCCCTTTGCAAATATGGCTGTTTGTCTTCAAAGGAATACTTTCGGAGAACTATTTTGTGTTAAGTCACTCAACATTACTGATCCTCATTAGATTAGAAAAGCACAGGCTTTCCCTCCAGGAAAAGTATGCAAGTGTTGCTATTTCTAACGTTAGAAATGATTGAAACTGAGTGGTTTGAAATGGTAATTTTCCCTATAGCTGAAATTTAAAAGACAGCTTTTTTCTTTCCCACGTCTGTTCTCATTATTTATTGGAATTTATGGCGTGATTTACATCCACCGTGAGTAAACTGGAAAGGCTGACTCCTGGTCAGGCCACTGCCTCTCGTCTCCTTCCCTCCCTGGCAGCCTTTACCAAACAGCAGCACTGCCACCTTCAGCCTGTGCCGCAGCTAACAGCCGAGCTGTCGTGGGTGATCTGGACAAAGCCCACCAGAAATTCTTTCCCATCACGTTGTATGCCCTGGGAAAACTTGGGATAGGCACAGGAAACCGTGCGGACATACATGCAGTCGTGATAGTCTCGAGCCACGTTTGATTCTAGCCGGTCTCTATTTTGGGATGTCATGTGTCACCTCCCTGCTACCCTATGTGTTGTTCAACCCTTTGATGCAAGAGGAGGGGACCCTCCAGCTCTGCTCCTGCTCTCCCACAGCTCCCAAGTACTTTGCTCACCCACCCTTAAGCCAACACGTTGGCCAGCGTTGAGCCGCGTGGGTGTTCCCCAGGTTCGCTGAGCAACCTGGCGGAGGGAGCCGAGACAACCAAAGGGAGCTGGGAGAGACACCAAGCTAGGCCAGGAGTCGGAAAAGATCAGATTGCTCGCTTGTCTTCAGAGGAGCTAGCCTGACTCGGTAGCAAGGGGTGCGTGTTGCAGGTTATCATACCAGCCGTGTTAGTTGTGTGTGTTTCTACCATGACCTAGGGGGAAAAAAAAAAAAGGAAAAGGAAATCTAGCTGGTACATGCCCATGTTTTGTTGCAGGGATGGAAAAAAAATGCCTTTTTCACTCTAGTTGAAATATTGCTGAATGTACTTTGAGGTAACTCTTACCTGAAAGCTGGGTGAACTCAGATACATATTTTAGGCCCCTCTCATAGCCGATTTTAGCAGGTTCTTGGCACTTTTCCAGCCTCTCCTTCGGCAGGGGAAGCTGGAGGCGCTTGGCGAGCAGGCTGACTCCTGGGGCGCCGGCCCCGCGTGCTGCACGGGGCCCCGGGGCTGCCCCTGCCCCGCTCGCCCCAGCGGGAGAGACGGGCTGAGCGCTGGCTCCTGGAGACCGCCGGAGCGGGTGCTGAGTCGCTCCAAATCCCTGTGACAGCACGCAGTTCATGCAGGCCGCAGGGCCTTGGTGCATGCGGCAGGAGCTTGGAAGGCTTCCCCACGTTTGCAAGCGGGTTTCCCGTTGCAGCGTGGCTGAGGGAACAGTGGCATCTGGTGTTCACTCGGCTTTCTTACACCCAGAGCTTCTCTGGTGGCTGCTCGTAGGGTTGGCTGGGGCTGGGATTCAGTTACCCACATGCAGGTGTCTCGTGCAGGCTAAGCACCTGTCCAGGACTGCAGGTATGACTGGGGCCTGCAGGACCCCAGGGCGCTTTTGGGGGGCAGCTAGAGCTCCAGGTGGACGCTGGCAGTGTGTCAAGTGAGAGGAACTCAAACCTCTCCTCACGTGTTGTCATCACCCTCTTGGAGAGTGAATATTCCCTACCCAGGCCCATGAGAGTGATGCTTGCACCACCAGGGAACCTCTAACCTGGATGCTGCTTAAGACATGTATGCATTTTATGACAGTCTTATTCCATCTTTCTCGATGGAGATGCATTTCTTGCCTAATGAGATGAGCCCAGGCTGTTGGGTGAAGGAACCTGTCAACCTGAAGTCCCACAAATGTGAAGGCTGTGGTTGGACACCTCCATGGCGCGATGCTCAGATGGTTGCACCCCTGTGTCTGAATGGGCTTCACCCTCTGAACATCTCATCACTTTACTCTGAGGGTCTCAGTATGGGGCCCAAAGTGCAGGTAAGTACATGCCTTGTCAAGACACCTTTCCCCAGCCAGTGCTTAATTTGGACCCAAAACCCAGAATGAACTCAATTTGGAGATGCTTGTGGTGCTCTCCCTATGCTAGTTCTTGGCCTTCATCAGGGCAGTCGCACCATATGGGGCAACTTTTCCTCTGTTAAATAGATCTTTCAAGCTTCTCTAACAGGCCACTCTACGCAGCTGAGAAATATTCAGTAATAATGCTGGAAACGCCACGTGTTGGCTGCGTGCCTTATCTGGGTCCCAGCTGGTGGGTCCTCCACGGCAGGTCTCTGAGGTGTGGAGAAAGGCTTATTTGGAGAAAAATTAAATTATTGACTTCTGTCATCACGGGAAGTGCAAATCTGAGGGAAACAAAGCTTAGAGGTGTCTCTTTCTGTACTTGTTAACATGCAAATTAGAGGGAAAAAAAAAGCCAATTATTGCCTTTATTTTGGTAGCTGGAATTCAGTGTGTCAGTCTTCCACCTCAGATGTACAGGGGACGGCTGCACCACACCATAGCCCTTCTGCTGTCCCACAGGATGTAGGAACTTGTGGGCTGGTTGTACACAGCATATGGCGTTACAAAATGTAAGCTGTCGCTTACACATTGCATAAGTTTTGAGGCTTTAATAACAGTTTTCCATAAGGGTTGGGTTCTGTGTGTGTTGCGTCGTTTGCTCCTAGAACTGCAGGATCTCCGTTCAGCATCAGGCTGTTCATATAAATGTTTAGCACAGGAACCACCACGGGCCGTTGTTTATTTTATATAAAAACATAGGAGGTTTTCCGAGGTGCAGCTGAACTTCTACTTAAAAAAAATCAATGGGAAGGGTGTCCCAATTCACTTGCTATCTTCTATGAAGACTTCAGTCTTCAGCTGGGAGCTGTCTCTAGCCTTGGACACGAGCAGGCAGGCTGTGCTATGTCGCAAGGAAAGCGGTCACAGACGTGTGCTCTACAGCTCCCCAAGCCTTTGGCTGTCAGCAGACGTGGTAACTGGTGCTGCCCGAGATCCTTTCCACTGAAACACTCCTTGCCAGGGTTGCAGGGAGAGCAAGAAACCTCCACCTTCCTTTCAGAATGAGTTTTCTTTATTGAAGTTGGTTTTCATTCATGTTCAGAGTTGACAACAGTTTCCAGGAAGACTGACAAACAAACAATTCATAAATATATATATATATATAGAACGTGTGTGTTTCAAACACTGTAGGTATAAACAAATAAATGCTCTATATTGCTATTTTGGGAGGTCTGGTATAACCAGCACTTTCAGCTGGCCAATTAGCAGCAAATGTGTTAGCCAGTGCTGAACATCCACTTACTCTTATCAAATCCAGTGTTTTAAAATTATTGCTCATTAGCAGACAAAAAGATACAAAGGGTGTTCATTAAAAATCTTCAGTCACAGCGGTGCCTGTAAACTTCAGTACATGCAGCTTTGTAGTGTTTTCTTTTTTGTAGAAATGCAATTAAGACTAAAACTTTCAGAACTGAATTAAGGTGTTGGGTGTCCAATCTGAGGATGTTAGAGGAGCCAAATTACCAGTGGGCCCAACCTTGTCCCCCTCCTGAAATCGAAGTGCAGAGGGTGAACACGGCGGGGTGTTGGGGCTCCTTGGTTCCTGTTGGGGTGCTGGGGGCCAGAGCTACGGGCAATGGAGCCCCTGGCAGCACCCTCGCATAGCTAAGAGCTGAGAACGTGGCTGTTTTCTGCCCTTCTGGTGCAGCGCTGCCGGTGACAGTGACATGGGGCACAGCACCCAACTTGAATAGCACCACCTTTGATGCCGGGTGCTAACTGCTCTCCTAGCTGTTAACCCATTTTCGGAGTCCATCTGTAGAGTGGGAGCTGGGACTGTCTCCACCCCGGAGGGGCAGCGGCCGGAGGTAAGGAGGATGACCGGTGCATGGAGGAACGTCACAAAACTGCAGCCAAGGGAGGTACATTCCTCCTCCCTCCTTGCATGCTCCTGGCTATGAAGGTCACGGGAGGGAAGGGTACCGGGGAGGCTGGAAATGCAGATCTCCAAGTGGCGCTTGCAGCTAGAGACTTCCCAGCTTGGCCAGCTGGTGGTAGCAGGGCTTTGCCAGCAGGTCCCCCCTTGCCTGGACAGCGGTTCAGCCAGCGGCTTCTCGTTGGGACTAGGTCAGTTGTTGTTCCTGGATGCTGCTGCTTCCTTGTCAGTGTCCACCAGGACCCTTTTCCGTGCTGCTCCGCTCCCGGGGCCGGTGGCACTCGGCTCTGGCTGGCCTGCTCGCTTCTCCAAAGGGAAACAAGGGATCGCTCTACTTGCGCTAACCCCTCGGCAGGGGAGCCGGATGCCAGGAGGGAAGGAAACCCACCATTCATGCTGCGTTGGTGAGGCCATCTCCTCAGGGCATCACAGAGATGTGTTGTGTTGCCTTCTGGCTGTCATCTACTCTTTCCCCGCTGGATCTTTTGGGATACACCACGCTGGCCATCCTGAAGAACTCGTCTGCAGCGTCAAGGGCTATCAGCCGGTCCTGCAAAAGCAAAGGAGTTTTACAGTCACCATAACGCTTAGGTCTATGGCATCTCCCTATCCCACATGCTCCCTCCAAGGCGGCTCTCAACAGCTCTCAGGCAACATCAGGCATGAGCTCTTACCCTTTCCCACGTCAGCCATCCAGCTGCAAGAGGACCCTGCAAGGCACAGGTCCAGAGCAACTTGGAGGGCTGGACTGATGGTGCTACAGCACAGGTGTTTCCAGAGAAGCTCAGCTAGTGAGTTGCAAGTGCAGTATCTATCTCGGTGCGTGCAATGGAGCTGCCGTGGGGCAGCTCGCCTCCTCTTGCCACCTTGGCAAGATCCCCTGCTTGCAGAGCTGGGGCTGACAGCAGCCTCTGAGTTACTCACCACCACAAAGAGGTACCGCTCGGAAAGCTCCCAGCTGGTTGGGAAGATGTTTGTCTCTTCCGAGAGCTTGAGCAGGATGTCCCGGGCCTTGCCCATGTTCTGAGAGTCACTGATAATGCTGAGTTTCGTCACTGATAACAGGGAGTCTGCTTCCTTCTGGAAACCTAGGGTTGAAATGGTCAATTTTGAGCCCTGCATGCTCTTTTGATGTTCCTTATTCTGCCTCCACCTTGTGTGGCTCCATTCCCTCCTTGGTAACATAAATTAGTGTTTCCCTGAGGCAGTCTCATGTCTGTACTTGCTGTAGGCATGAGCTCGCTCACAGGGAAGGGAGAAAAAACCCTAAAAAAATCAAAATGTGTTTGTTGCTAGTTTTCTGGTGAAGGGATACTAACACTGCCCATAGGAGCTGCACTGACCTTCAAGGAGGGTCTGTGTGCTCCTGACGTACTTGCAGCAAGTGCATGCAGGGTGGCTGGGGGTTCTGTGGACCCTAGTGATTACAGCTATGTCAGCAGGTCTCTGATGCTAGCAATAAAAATCCCACTGCAGGAATGCTGCAGTATATCCTGCATGGGTAACTGATCCTGAGGCATTCAGTATTTCCCATAGGAAGGGTATCCCAGGAAGGAAAGAGAGAGGAGAATATTCTGGGGGGATGATCAGGAGGTCGTTAAGGATGTCATGTCATTGTTTGCCCAAGAGGCACCGTGAGCATCTTGACAAAGATGCAGGCTGATCCCTAATAATAAATTTCCAATGTTCCTCCCCTCTTGACCCCGGAGCGGCAGACAGGGTGGGAACACCTGACGTACCGATCCCGTCTGCCCCAAAGCAGCGCCAGGCCGAGCAGGGACACCCGAGTCGCAGGCGTGCCCTCTCGCCCGCTGCCCGTCCCTGCAGTGTCACCCGTGCGGCCGGTGTCACGCGCACTCGCCTGGCACCCTCCTCTCCGCGGCAGGGCCTCAGCTGGGGCTCTGCTGTGGGAGGGAAAACAGCAGGGTCTGGGAGGGCCCCTCTGGGGCAGTATCTCCGGGGCAGGGAACGTGTCCCATTTGCTTAGGCACAGAGTGGATGGGTTGCCTCAGATCTGCTGGCACAAGCTAAGGAAGAAGGTGTCTATCTGTGTTCACATCTGAAAGGAATATTCATTCCTCCCTGCTTATCTGGGTTATGAAAACATCAGGTGAATTCCCAGGTATCAATCTTCCCTTTCCTTTCTCCTCTGCAAGTCTGGTTTTGTGCAACTGCCTGAATCCTCAGCAGTCACAGCCCTCTCGTTTGGTACCAGCTGTACGTCCCTGCTTCGACATTTTGTGTTCCACTAGGAGGGTGTCTTTTTGTTTGCTCTCTTACCTAAGTCTTCCAAGATGTGTTTCCACCTGCTTCTCACTTCTTTTCGGGTTTGTCGTAAGGTATAAATATCGTAGTTGAGCTTTTGCCATTCCTGCAAAGCAAAGGGATAACAGATGGTCAGTGGTCTGGTTTCTGGTTTGGAAAGCATTTCTTTATCTTCCTGGCATATACAAACAAGTTACCTCCCTGGTGGCTTCACAGACTTTCAGTTACCTCGAAATTAGATTGTGGAATTTAGCTTGTGAAAATTTAGTTGATATCTTATGGCCAAAGTGGTCTCCTTGGTCAGAGGCAGGGAGAATAGAGCACTGCACCCCTGCTTGTATCTGGAAATGATAACCCTGCCCTCAGGCAGAGGACAGCATAATCCTCCAAACCTACCCTTAAATAAATGTACACAAAAATGTACACGCCTGCTCTTTTGGCCCAAAGCTTGTATGAGATAAACAAACCTTGACATCCAAGTTAGCATCACAAACTGGGGTGGTGAAGATACCTTATTTGACCTCTGCAGCTTGAGAAACCAACCCTATATCAATAATTGCCTCCTGCCAGCTCTTGCAACACCTTGTTTGCAGGCACCTGCAGTGAAAATGGCAGGACAGGGGCCCATAGGAAACTAGAGACTGGAAAAAGAAAAGCTGTCACCATATCTGGGACAGGTAAGTGGTGGATTCTCTAAACTGCTGGGCCCTCTGTTAGGCATTTAAGTAGAAGAGAGAAGTTTTCCAAAGCACTTGAGAACAACTTGACCTTTTTGAGGGCTGGGGTAAAGGCTTTTAGTGGCAGAGGAGAGGTGTGCAGCTAGAGTTGAAGTTTGAGTTGGAAGCATTTGCCATAATAACTACTGTTAGTGACTGCCTGTTCCTGTAGCTAAGGCCTCGCTTAACTACACCGTACGTGTAGCTGGGCTTGACCTCAAGTTTTGTATGTGCATAATGGGACGCTGTCTAAAGGGGAAGGTTTTCAGGTTGCTTATTAAAGTTCTAGCAATGCAAGTAAGCACTTTCCTATGGGAACACCCATACTCTGGAGCAAAAGTGCTTTTCCTCATTTAGTTTAATAACTTTACACATGTAAAAGGACGCTGTGGTGGAAGTGTCCGGACAGCAGGTAATGCTGGTTTTGAGCACACGGAAATTATTTGAGAGATGTTACAATCTTAATGTATTTCACTTCCGAGCAGCAGATTACAGAAACAAATGCTTGTAGGATAAATAGGTGTTAACCTGTGTCATCCGACTGGGATTTTCCACCCGGCCGCTGGGCTCCAGCTGTGAGGAGCACCCACAAGCACAGGCTGTGCTTTAGGAATGCAGCTGCTCCCTGGCACGCGAGGCCTCATACAGTTTGCTGGCAGCGGCCAGGGTCCTGCGTGAGACCTGCACCATGGGCAGCCCAAGGACACGGAGGAGCTTCAGGGTTTTCCCTGCGCGCAGCCAAGTCTCCGAGTCTGGCGAGCTGTGCGTGACGATCCCGCTTCCCGCCACGGCTGCGGCGGCTCCCTGGAGATGGCGACTTGGAGCAAAGCGTCAGGGAGCCGAGAGGCTCGGGAGCGCAGGCCGGTGGCGCGGGAGGGTTTGGGGCAGCGTGTGGCTTCCTCGGGGCCGCCCCCCCTTGGCCGGGGGACAGGCGACCCCGTCCCTTCCAACTCCGATCCCGGGAGCTACTGTCACACGTGGGCTGCTCTCCTGGCTGCCTCGCTGCTCCCGAGGGGCCTTTCTGTTTGCACAACTACTAGTGCCATGGATCAGAGCACCGTTTCCTCCCTTACCCAGGGAAAGGGAGGAGGCAGGAACAGCCTCTTCTCTCGTGACACAAACTCATGCTCAGGGAGGGAAGTCCTGTCCCTGAGAAGGATTCCTTTCTTCTTTTCTAATTGGAGAAAGCTTTGTGGGAAGTTTCCTCTCAGCCTTGAAAGTTTTCAGCTTTTGGCAGGGCTCCCTTGGAAATGTCTCAGCCTCCTCGTGACCCCACAGCCTTAAGCAGAAAGGAGAGAGCAAACCAGTTGGGGCGCGCCGGTGGGAAAAGGAGCTGCGTGTCTGACCTGCTGCGCAGATAAACCAGGGACTCGTGGTTTGAAGGACGCGATGGACGCGTGCCTCGGTGGTGCTGACTTTGCAGACCAGGCACCCAGAGGGAAGCCCTCATCTTCCTCTCTCCTGAATGTGGTTCTGGAGGAGGGATGGCCTGCACCAGGAGGAGGAGGCCATACGTTGTGCTGGTGGCTGAGGAGCAACCAGAGATGACGAGGTGAACTTTGGCCAAAGATGGGCCTGGTTTTTTTTAAGGGATGTGCCATATTCTCCAGCAGCCTCAGAAACCACCTGGATGACACCAAGTTCCTACGAGGTCAGGCAGCTCTGAAGTGACTTCCAGAGAAGATGTTTTTTGGGGAAACCCCCCCAAACTCACTGGTGCACACGCTAACTCTGCAAATGCCAAAAGTGAAGGAATCCTCGGCATTAAATATAAACCAACCTGGCACAGAGCTGAAAGCCGGGAAAGAAGAGGCCACGGGGACCAGGAACTGTCCAACTTTTCCTCCCTGCTCATGTGGAAATTTCCTAATTTCCAGGGCTATCACAGCCAGGGCTGCTTCTCACCTGGGCTCAGGGACTGGCCTGGTTTGAAGTAGCCGAGCAAATACAAACAATTGGATCAATCCCCTGTAAAACACTTTCCTCCCACGAGCAGGGTTCATGCTGAAGCAGCATCTTGGTTGTATCTATGCAGGTTCTCAAACAACGACTTGCTTTCCTCAAGCTCCTCTGTTCACTTCCAGAAGACTTCAGGGTTTTACCTTACACCATCGCCTGGTTTGGCAGCACTGCAGGGCAGAGGCATCCTGCGAGGAAAGCAGTATTTTTTCCATATTTGAAATATTGACCCAAGTCTTTAAGGGCTGGGAGCACTGCTTTGATCTCCAAAGATTCCATTGGTTTTACCCATGTCCTTAAGACAGACCTTCAGCTACAGCTTTTCTGGTTCTCTCTCCCCACGCTCCTCTTTCCCTCCTGCTTTTGCTCCCCTAGGTGCGTCCAGGTGCGTTGCCCTCGTTGCCCGATGGCAGAGAAGGGCACGAGTTGGGAGCTGTTCAGCCCTCACCTGGGGCTGCGGCTCCCAAATCTGCAAATCTGCCCTCCTCACGTGCCTGCACGTCTGTTCACGTTTCTGAGCTCTCTTTTGCCCTCTCTCTTGTGCTGATGAGGTCCATCATAGCTGCAGTTAGTAGAGGAAGGCATGCTAGGTAGAGGTCAACCAGATTTCTTCCCTCTTTTCTCTGCAGTCCATTCCTACCCGGCTCTTTTCTCTGGCTCCTCTGGAGCACAGCCTTGGTAAGGACAGTGCCCTTCACCAGCCCCCTTGCTTGGGCCCACTGCCCTCCAGGTGTAACCCACCTCTCTGGAGGCCTCTGCAAGCTCAGCATCGCCTGGGGCCAGCGCAGCACCCAGCAGCAGGGCACTTCCAGCTGCGGATTTGTCTTAGACTGAACAGCCCCGGATCTGGGAGGCTCCAGGGAACCCCATCTTAACATTCCTGCTGCACAGTGGCTTTTGCAATCGTAGGGTGCTCCAGCCGGCTCCTCCAAGCCCGGTGTCACGATGAGAAGCCACGAGGAGCAAAGGGCGTGGAGCAGGACAAGCCGGGGGGCGGGCGAGGGGCCCAGACGAGAGGTCGGGGCACTGGCTCAAGGAGCTCGCTGCCCCGGTTCCGCGAGAACGGCGCGAGCTGCTCGGCGGCGCGGATGTTACAATCCAGCTGTAAGACCTTCCTCACGTTACAAGGAAGAGCATGGTGGAGCAAAACATTTGTTCACGTGTTCGTCAGTACTTTTATTGAAAACTGCTGGCAAGATTGCCAGAAAAGGTTGGTTCTACACCCAATATTCTGCTATAGAGCCTGGTGGGCACAGGGCACTCCAGCCTCCCCACGAGCTAGACTGGGTCACCCCGGCGTCCTGGCCCGCTGCTTCTGCTCTGCATCTCGCAGCACCTCGTCGCCACGATCTCAATCATAATCAACAATAAATAAATAAATAAATGCAGGCACGCAGAGCAGGTGAGCCAGGTTAAGGAAAAGCCAGTTCCGGAGAGAGGCAAAGGTGGAGCCACAGAGCTGCCAAAGGTGTGAGCAAGGATTACGTGCTCCAGGTCACCCTTGCAAAACCCCATCCTAGGGAAGCACCACGACAACAGGGGCAATGCTGAAGGCTCTATGAAGGGCACGGCCCTTCCGTATGGTTTTCCTTTCCGCTTTATCTCAAGCAAGGAAGGAAAGGAGCCAGGGTTTTGGGAGAGGCATGCATGCAGGTAAATAGCAAGCCCAGGCTCCGGGCCCGGCACGGGGGCATCCCTGCTCACGCTCCTCGGGGGAGCGGGAACCGAGCAGCTCCCCAAAGCCGATTACGGCTTCTGCTGCTCTGTTTTGCAATTAGATTTTTTTCCTCTCTCTCCGGGCTGATCTCTCATTAGACGGAGCGGTTTGGCCTAGTTTTAAAATGCTCGCTGCAATAAGAGCAGATCTCTGCACCCAAATGCAGCAGCTTTTCCAGCTACATATTTTCCTGTTTTGCAGCGTATGGAAAGGGCTTCTGTATTCCCTTCTGAAGTGATGCAAGGCCCTGGATGGGGTTGCGGAGGGCACAGGGGGTTCACAGTTTGGAGCTGAGCTATTAACTGCATTGCAAAAAGAGAGGGGCTATAGGTCCTCACGTTGATTTGTGGAGGGCAAGCTGTTTTTACGAATAACCCATCACTTCTATGCGCATTGTGGGGTTGAGGGCACAAGGGCCCCTACCCCAAGAGGGGTGAGGGGGCCTTTGGTTCAGGTTGCCCCAGCAGAAGAGGCCATGGGCTGTCACAAAAACGTGCTTACAGAGCTCTCTATTTTAAGTGGCAGCATTAAGTCTACGCCCACCAGAAAACAAAAAGCATTAAATAGGAACTGTGGTCATCTGTGTGTACAAAAAATCACATTTATCTCATTTTGACTTAAAAAAAAAAACTGCTATTTTTTATCTGAAGTGTGCTTCTGGAGCTTAAGTCTCCCCGTGAAAACCGAGCTGTTCTTCAAGGGTGACTCATGGCAGGGGGAGTTTTTAATCTGAGCCTTTTGGCTAAAACAGGACCACTCTGGAATGCTGCCGAGTTCAAATGCGAAGCCTCCAGATTTTAGGGAAAGCATTTCGGGCAGAGGGGGAGGTGTCAGTGTTTGCCCCAGACTGGAGCTAATCCGTGCGGCCACGGGAATCTCCTTTGCACGGTCAGACGGCAGCCAGACCCTGACATCCCCTTGTTAACAGCGTTGCCTTCCCCTCCAAGCCACTCACCCCATAACTACCCACGATCAACTGGAGGGGAATTTGACTTGATGTGGCATTAAAGCGGCAGCTCAGCTGAGAGGAGACTCAGGAGAGCAGTTGCCTGAGGACCACGGGCTTTTCTCCCCCTCTTTCCTCCCCCGTTTGCCACGGCAGCTCTCTCCTCACCTCCGAGTCGGTGTCCAGCTGGTTTCTCACCACGATCATGTTGTAGAGGATGCGGTCGTCATCGGCCTCGGTGTGCGTCACGTCGTGGGGGGTGCTCCACAGGTTCTGCTCCTCGTCCCGTGCCAGCGTGGCCCCGAACGACGCGTACGGGTTGTTGTTGCTGCAGAGAGGAGGGTAAACATGAGGCGGGGCGGACGGTGCCCTCCCATCGCACACTCCCACCCGAGAGTTTTCATGCACAGGAGCGTGGATGTTTGCAGGGCATCTCCATGCCTCTTGGCCAAAGAGGCAGTTCCTACCCATCTACCTTCTCAGGGCCGTTGAAGGTGAATGGTATTTGATCGTGGGCAAAGGAAGAGGCCCCAGGCAATTCCACCTGAACCCCTGAGAAGACTTTGTTGCTGGGAGGGTGGTTGGACACTGCACCAGGCTGCCCAGAGGGGCTGTGGAGTCTCTGTCCTTGGAGCTATCCAAAACTCAACTGGACTTGGTCCTGGGCAGCCTGCTCTAGGTGACCCTGCTTGAGCAGGGATGAGAAGATGTTCAGATGTTCAAGAGAAACAACATGAGGTGAGAAATACCTCAAGACTTACCTAATAATATCATTTGCTATCCAACAGTAATTCGTGCTCAGTTCTTGTTAGAACAGACCAATATTTGTGCTATTTGCTTTCCAAAACCTCTTTTGGTACGAACGCTACCCCAGATAACCCCGCGGGTGGTCTATCTGTGCTGGCACAACTATTACAGAAGATGCTATGAGGAGCTCCAGCACACAGATAAAGCAGAGAAGTCCTTCCCGCCAGCATTCCTACAGAAACATTCATTAGACTGTCAACAAACCAAGAAACCTGAGCAACAGATAAGGAGGGGCAAGATAATCTGTTAGGATCTGTCCCTCAGGACAAGCGAGGAAGGCTCCGTGGAGGGCGCGGGCGGCACGGGTTTGCTCAGACCATGGACCAAGGGCCTCGCTGCTGCTGCGAGCGCAGACCAGGGCCATGTGAGGCGGGTGCCCTGCTCCTGCCCGCCGCGGGAGCTGCTGCTTGCCCATCGCCAGCCCTCAGCGTCGCACTCACCGGGCAGGCCCCGCTCGGCAGCGCCGCGGCTCCCGCCGCCCTGCGCTCTTTGACACATCCCACTGCAGCCGCTCAGCTCGGGGGAACCTCTAGGGAGCTAAACCCATGGGAAGCTTGTAGCCAAAGAGGTCCAAGGCACTAGCAGAGGTGAAACGCCCAACGTGACGTTTCCTCACAGCAACACGCCGCGTGCCAGCGCCAGCCAGCCCGCTTGGGCAAGATCCCCACAAGCGCCAGAGCTCCCGGCCCGTAAGGAGCTGCTGGCTGGCAAGCAGATTATCCGCGGCGACGCGCTGGGCAATGCCCAGCTGCGGGACGGGCTTTCCTGCTGCACGCCAGCATTAATGGGATTGGCGTTTGAAAGGTTGCTAAAGAAAGGGCCCCCGCGCAGCGTGAGAGGGGCCGCTGCTTCCTAAGGCAATAAAACAATAAGCGGCTCCTACCTTTCGGCACCTGTGCTGAGCCCTCCTTAGGTTAATGCCAATTTCCTGGGCTGAGCCCCACCTCCCCAGTTGGGATTATCCAGTTATTATTTAGGACTTCTTTGCAGCACGAAATCAGGACGTTGTGATTGCTGACGATGGCTCCCTGTGTGCGAATGGTGGGTGCGAGAGGTGCAGCCGTCCCCTTGCAGGGACGGAGGCCCTGGCAGCGCCCGCCTGGGCTTCTGCACGAGCTGCAGCCAAACTCCTGGGGCCGGGACATGCAGCCCCTTTCGTGCCGTATTGAGAGGAGCCGCAGGGCCGGGTGCTGCTTGGCAGGGCATGGACAAAAGCGGGGTGGTTTCTGCAGCAAGGGGCGTGCAGCTGCGGGCTGGTTGCTCTTTGCAAGCCTGGCAGGGCTTGCCGAGGGAGCTCATGCTGCACAGGGCCCTGCGCTGCCCGTGGCAGAGAGGCAAAAGCCACGCTCTGCTGCGGGAAGTGGCTCCCTTCCCCATGGCGCTTGGCGCTGGGGCAGGGGCTTCTCTCAAAGCCACGGCTGCAAGCCCAGCTTGGGGAGGCAGCCGGGTAGCAGCACTGGTGCATGGGGGGAGCCTGCCTGCCCGCACGGGGGGCACCCTCGGCCCCACTAAGCCCCAGACAAAGCTGGATTTGCAGCCCGCAGGCTCGAGCCGCTGTCCCGGAGCAACGCGAGCGGCCTGGAAGCGGCCGACCGCAAAGGGGAAGCGCCTCAGGCATCCCACAGGGCGCATCCTGCATCCCACCCCTGCATCCCACATCCTGCCGCCGCATCCCGCTCCCACCTCAGCAGAGGCTCCTTCTCGGGCGCCGCCGCCTCGCTGGTGCCGCCGCCGCCGCAGCAGCCGCAGCAGCCGCCGCAGCCGCCCAGCGAGCGCAGCCAGGCCCCCAGCCCCATGGGCCGCCGCCGCTCGGCCGCCCGGCAGGCGGGTGATGGCCGGGCCCGGTCGGGGCGGCGCATCCCGGCGCCCGCCCCGGGCGGAGCGGGAGGCGGCGCCGCGGTGCCCGGGAGCGCGGGCATCCCCGCGCAGTGCCCTGGGCCCTGCAGCGCGCCTGGCGCGAGGCCTCCGCGCCCCAGCGCCGCTCGCCCGCTGCGTCCTTCCCCACGATATCCCACCTGCCGGAGTGCCGGAGCGCCCACGCTCCTGCGTCTGTCCCGCCTGTTTCCAGCAGGACCAGCTTGTAGGGCTGCACCCTGCAAGCTGCGAGGCGCTTGAGTCAGAGCCCGCTTGCGAGATCCCCGCGCGCAGTGCAAGTCGGTGCAAGATCCCTAACTGCCACCGTTGAGTAATGCTGCGTGGCCACCTGCAACACGAATCGTTTTTGCAGGGAGCTGGAGTTACTGTGGGGCCATTGCCCAGCCTCTGGGTTATCTTGAAAAAGTGCTTTTATGGTTTGTTTCAGCATCATCAGCCCTAATTGCAGAGGGAAATTATAGTGAAACCTGCAGGGGTGACATCCTGTGCTCCCCACCTAGTTCAGTTTTAGCACAGCAGCTCACAGAGAGCATCTATTTTTTTTTTGTTTGCTCATCCCAGCAGATACCCCATCTGCTGCATTTCTCTTTGCTGCTTGCAGTGCGTATCCAGAGGTGCTGCTCCTGCTCACACACACTCAGGATTAGTCTCCCTTTCAATGTAGTGGGTAACAGGCTGGGAACTGGTCAGGAGTTTAGAGAGAGAGGGACAGAAAATTGCCTATTTGCAACTGCAGTTTCATCCTGGCCATTTCCATACTCCTGTGGCATTTTATTCCCATCTCCTGCTATCATTAGTGGCCCAGCATCAACCTCAGGAGCCAGCTGGGCTGCACCCACTCTGCAACCATCCAACACAAACAAGGGGAGGATCAGCAGCAGCTTCCCCCCCACTCCCTGCTCTGCAATCCAGTTTCCCCCAAGGGAGACGCACGCGGGAAATCTCCGGGCACCCGAGGAACCTGAAATGCAAGCGCCGGAGCTGGAGGCACACGGACGTGCTGCTACTCAGCTGCTGCACGAGGCTTCGCTCTTGCACATCTCAACCTACGTGGACGCGCAGGTTGCCCCATAACGCAGGAGTAACCATTAATAGTTCCACATTGCACACCTCTGGTGGAGGGGACCTCTCTTGGCCTGAACCAAAGTCGTGAGGAAAGCTGGATCATGAAGTCGTGACAGTGATTTAGAGCACACAGGTCCGTGCAAGGCCATGTGTGAATATTTCAGAATATTTCAGAATATTTAAGGTTGGAAGGGACCTCTACAGATCATCTAGTCCAACCTTCCTGCTCAAGCAGGCACACCTAGAGCATGTGGCACAGGGTGGCATCCAGGCGGGTTTTGAAGACCTCCAGAGAAGGAGACTCCACAACCCCCCTGGGCAGCCTGTTCCACTGCTCTGTCACCCTCACAGTAAAGAAGTTGCTCCTCACCTGGAGACGGAACTTCTTGTGCTTCAGTTTGTGGCCATTACCCCTCGTCCTATCGCTGGCCACCAGTGAGAACAGCCTGTCCCCTTCCTCCCTGCATTCTCCCTTCCTGAACTTATACATATTAATCATATCCCCTCTGAGCCGTCTCTTCTCCAGAGAAAAAAGGCCCAGCTCACTCAGCCTCTCAAAGGAAGAGCATCCTCTGGGTCTCTGCAGCACGAAGGCACAAAGGAGCTCTGCGCAGGGGAGGGAACGCGTAGAGAGAGGTGGAGTGGAAATCCTGCATGGAAACCTAATCCTGAGAGTGATTTATCCCATGGGAGATAGGGATGGAGAGCCAGGCACTGCATTTGGGGCAGGGTCTAATCTCAGTGCATGGCAGAAATTCGGTCATTTCAATTGTGAAGGATTTCAAGGGAATGATAAGCTGCTCAGGATGCTTTCACAAGGGAGCAAAAAGAGAGACATTAGAAGAGATAGATAGAAAGAAAGGAGGGGATTTAGATGCTGGGAAGAGGAAATCTTGGCATGCTCCCTGGCCCTGCCACAGCTCCTCACGTGACTTTTCTGTTTGATTTCATCAGTCAAGCCCCCAATCGCTTGTTCCCGTTTTCCTTTACAGAAAGGGTCCAATCTGCAGCGTTTATTCCCGTGGTGCTGGGGATGCTTCCGACGCACCCTCCCTGCTCCCTCCCCCCTCCCCAGCTCCCTGCTGCCTCCCTCCTTCGCCCCAGGCCCTTTCCACATGACGGCAGATTATTTTTCAGATAGCAGATGCCAGGAAGCAGGGGCCCTGCCTTGATTTCTGACGGAGAAGCGCTGATCCCAGAGGAGCCCTCCAGCCGGGGCTGTCTCACACGCAGCCATTTGCTCAGCTCTCCCCAGCTAAGACACCCCCCAATATTTGGGGTTAGCTTTATATCACCGATACCTTCAGGAGGGGCAGCCCTCCGGAAGGTCTCCCAGACACTGCAGGGAGCAAGAGCCTTTCTGAGGGTCAGCAGCTACATCCCAGATGGCCCTTTTCACTCCTCGTTGTCACTGTCTAGTTGTTACTAGAGGTAACCGAGGGGAAAGAGATTCTGCACCAATCTGGGTGCCCCACACATGGAGTTGGCTGCACCCTGGCTTTGGGCACCTCATCCGGCCAGCGCAGGCCTGAAGCTCTGGGTGTCTCCTCTTCATCTTCCTCACACACCCAGCACATAGTGACCGTGTTCTGCTGCTGACCAGAGCACAGGCCCGTGGCCTGGCTACTGCTTACAGAATTGCTGTGATTTTAGTGACAGCAAAGGACCTGTCCTGGCATGGAGAAATGATACAGGATTCACTTTGTTCTCATGAGGCCCAGTCCTGCAGCTTAACCCGGCGTCCAGGTGGCACAGGCGGAGACTTCTAGTGGGAGAAAGGAGGAAAACGAGGCAGCCTCCTGGTATCCCAAGCCCCCTCAGTTCCCACGTATCTTGGCATCATCATGGCCTCAAGTTTAGCTAGATGTAATTAAGTGGTGCCTTCCCAATCCGCATCTAGGGCCCACTGCAGCAGAACTCAGACAATATCCAAACATACACGGCGAGAGCTGGCGGTTTTCCTCAAATTCCTCTAGACCAGTGTGGGAAGGGGTCCCAGGCCGTGTTTTCCCAGGACACTCTGAGGATGTTTTCCACAGAGAAGGTGGAGAAGTGGATCTTTGAAGCAAGAGGTGCTGCAGTTTACAGCACTTGGAGACTCTCCAAGGGACGTACTGCAGAGGTTGAGCTCGCTGGCCATTACCCTATGGGCAGAGTTGCGTAGGTCAGACGATAATAACCTATAAACACTCTACAGGTCTTCTCTCTGTATAGATTGATATAAGGAGGCTTATTTATGCTACAGAAGCTGGAACGGAGGCAGCAGCTTCAGCAAAGGCGCAGTGATGTGAGCCTGGTGCAACCTGGCGCTGAGTCAGACTCACGGGCTTCACGGCAGGGAGTTATCATTAAGGGAGGATTAAAAGTCACCTCGCTGGGGAAAAGACAGAACCGATTATGATTTTAAAAATCAGGGCCAGTCAGAAAGCTGATCGGTGCCAGGTGCGCTGCAAGTAGAGTCGCAGAGGAAATGAATGGGAATTAGCTTTCTCCTAAGGAAATACTTGTAGCTAATGAGAAGGCAGCTCTGAGTTTTATGACAAGTCTTTCTCAGCTGCAGGAAAAGCAGATCATTAGCTGTGCTCATAATGGAGTTAGCCAAGATTTTTCCATCAGAAAGTTCATACTGGGGAAGGTGTAAGTACAATTTTAGAGTGAGTCAGGCTCAGAGAGGGAACAAGTTGTCAGTTTGCACGAGTGCAAGAGGAGAACAGTCAGGAGCATCATTTAGACCTATTCCCCCAATCTAAAATTGTTCCCTCCCCAAAAGAATCTATTCAGAGAGAGATTTTCAATGGTAAAATAAAAGAATTATCTTGGTGGCACTGGAGTGACTCAGCCCAGTGAAACACAGGAGGCCGGTGGGCCGGGAGCCGCCGCGTATCCGGACTTGTGCGGGGCGATAAGGACAGGGCGCTGCTGGATAAGCACCTGGCGTGGCAGGTTTGGGTCCTCGTGAGGGAGGTGGCTCCGGCAGGTAGAGGGCCCCGCAGTAGCTGCTTGACTTTGGTTTGGCTCTTTTGCATCGCTCTCAGCGTACTAAATAAGCCCTTATTGCTGCGTGGGCACAGGGCCTTGAGCAGCATAGTGAGGATTGCTGCTGCTTGGAGAGCAGAGACGGGTCTGGAGCAGGAAAGCAGGGAGGCTGAGCCTGTGTGTTGAGGGCTGGCAGAGGTTAGAAATGGGCTGGTGTCACTTGCAGCCAGTGTCTCTGATAGTTTTTTTTGCGGTAGGCATTTGGTCCTAGCTATACCCACAGGGCAATGAGCTAAATGTCATCTTTGCCTTCCCTGCAGGATGAGCTGGTGCCATAGGGACCTCAGTGGGCAAGCAGTGGAGCCCCGTGCCTTGCCTTTGCTTTCCCTCTGTGCATTCCTGCTCGGAGCAGAGGTGCTCAGAGGGAGGCAGTTAAAGTTAGGGAGTGTGGAAACTAGAGAAGCTGAAGGCTTCAAGAACATTTGAAGGATTCTGCAAAAACGTGGAGCCTCCTGAGGACACGGTGGTCTTTGATGCTTGTGTTGTATTTTCTCTTGGTGTAGACGCCTTCCCTGCTATAACCAAGGCTAAGCTTTCTTTTAGATTTTCTTGGGGCTTATAGAGATGTGCTTTAGGTATAACTAGGGTTAGGATCAAGATGGGGGCTAGGACCAACTTTGTGCTGGAGGAGCCCATTCTTACTCTGAGCTGTAGGTCCATTTTTGGAAATAACTATGATTTCTCTTTTCGTTTTGGTGAGGCACAATTCAACCAGGGCCACTTGTTGAACTCTGTAGACTCAGTTCTTGCTGGTCCTACTGGGAGGAACATGCAGGGAAACCTGAAAAATCAGACACCAGCAGGGAGATTGCAGTCCTCACACTGAGACACCCAGGTGGTCAAAAGGGAGAGTCACTTTTCCCTGGCATAAACCTGCAATGGGGGATTTTGCAGGATGCTCTGGGCTCTTTACTGAGCTGCCCTGCAGCAGGTGGCCCAGGGGAAAGCCCTGAAAGGAGCTTCACTCCTCAGTACAAGTTCTCAGGTGCTAGCAGCCTGAGTGCACCCAGGTGAACCATAAATAAGCATCACCCCAGTGACTCATCTCAGGGGAGGATCGTCACCTAATTCCTGAAATATCAGTGCTGCCCGGTGTGCCCTGTTGGGCTGGGAGGCCCTGGTTGTGCCCCCTTTGTGTGGGGTGGCCCTGTGCCTCAGTGAGGCAGCAGTGCCAGCCAGGCGGCCCTCCCTAGAGGGAGCCGCTCGCTGCTGAGGGGCGGGAAGCTGCGCGCCTTCCGGAGGATGCCGGCTCCTGTTCCTTAACCCCTCTCTGTGCCAAGAGGATGGGAATTTGTGAATGTTGCTTTCACGTACACAATGTATAAATGGAAGGTGCAGCGTGGTGCTAGCGTGCGGCCGCAGGGCTGTGCGTGGGCGCTGCCGGAGGGTGGCACTTGCTCTTCCTCTCGTCCCTTCCGGGCCCCGTGGCGCTTCCTGAACAGCTGCCCGAGCTGCGGCAGGGCGCCGGAGCGGCTGATTCCCGAGCTGCTTCGCTTGCTTTCCATTCCGGCATCGGCTCCTGCCGTGCTGGACGTGCCCCGTTGTTAGCTGGTATTCTGTATTTTTGTGTCCTTTGAGACGCTTTCTGAGAGCAGTGTCCTAGCCTCCCGCCTGCTCGCTGGGCACACGGAGACTCCGAAGCGCGTTGGGGAATATTTCCGGCAGATTTTTCACATCCCAGAGCTGCTGCTGTCACGGAAAATTCCTGCTTGCTCGCTGAGATAAACAGGACACGGAGAGGCTTCTGCTGGAAGGTATTATCTTACTAAAGGGAGGTAGCATGAGCTGCTGTGGGCTTGATGGACCCATGTCCAGTTGGACCATGTGCTTTTTAGGGATTAAATCCATAACCTCAGATGCACCCCCCCCCTTATTTATCAAAGCCATAGGGGTGGTACTGGCGTGACGAGGAGAAATTCTGCTAGTACTAGAACGTGACGGAGCTAAAAACATTTGTTTTCTCTGCTGTGATTTTATGGGGTTTAGTTTTGTTTTTCCTCCCTACTCTGGCAGCTCCCACAAAGTTACAGGTATCCCAGAGGCGATGGAGATTTTTTTTTTTTTTTTTATTTTTCAGTCTCCTACCTCCAAGGGGGGGAAAAAGTAGGAGAGGAAGCATTTAAAACCCTAGAAAGCTTTTTCCGTCCCCAAGCTCTTCCTGCCCTGCTTCTGCTGGGATGCAAAGTCCGCAGCACGTGCAAAGTCTTCCCGAACCCCCGTGGCCGAGAGGCCATTCCAGGCGGCCCTGCCCGGAGCAGGGAACCGGGGGTGACGCCGGCGCTTCCTCCCGGCAGGCGCCTGCCCGCTTGCTCCAGGATGGCCGCGCAGCTCTTCCAAGGGAAAGGACATGCTGCCGTGTACCAGAAATACCGCTTCGCTCCCGGCAAGGAGCTGCAGCAGATCATCCTCTCCTACGTGCAGGAAAAGGTAAGGCGCCGGGCCTGGCGGAGAGGGGAGGTTTCCTTCTCTGCTGGGGATGCTGGCCTGGGCGGTAGCGTGGGGAGCAAGGATTAAGCAGGACGCCTTGGTAGTGAGGATTGTGGGAAGACATGGGCAGGCACAAGCATTCCCATGGGATGTCCTACAGCTAGAGCATTCCCGAGTGCGTGGAGGGGAAGGGGAGCGGTGGAAGCTGATCCCACCTACGGGGGTGAACTCTGCTGGCCGCTGAGATGCGTCTGCTCCTTCCATCAGGGGACCAGTCCCACCGAGCTGGTAGTGGACGTGGGCTGCGGGTCAGGACAAGGCACCCTCTTCCTGGCGGAGCATTTCAAGAAGGTGGTGGGAACGGACATCAGCGAAGCGCAGATCCAGGAGGGCAGAGAGGCACCCTCTCCTCCAAACTTGTCCTACCTGTAAGTGTCATGCGTGGAAACCTTGGCTTCTTGTGTCGAGGCATTTTGGGGGGGAGGCCAGGGGGACTGGAAATCCCTTCAGAGCAGGGTCCTCTCCATACACACCTCATGGAGAGAGCGTCCTCCCTCAGTCCAGGCAAGGGTGGTAGTGGAAAAGGTCTTATCCAAGACTCACAGTCCTGCACCTTGAGGTCTTGCATGCGCAGCGGAGAGTTGTGTCAAGCTCCAGAAATCCCCAGAAATGTCATGCTTACCAACCCCGGTGTTAAACTCTGCTCCCCGGCCCGTCCACAGCGTGTGCCCCGCCGAGGAGCTGCCGTTTGAGGATGGCTCAGTGGACCTCCTTACTTCATTCACAGCCGCCCACTGGTTTGACATCGAGAAGTTCATGAAGGAGGTAGACCGCGTCGTTAAGCCGCGCGGTTGTGTGGCTCTCAGCACCTACACCGTGGACATGAGACTGCACTATGGGAACTGCTCCGAAAAGCTGACCCAGATCTTCAGAGAGGTGAGGCAATGAGACCCAAAGCTCAGAGCTGGGGAGTTGCACACGGGGGAAGCAGCAGGCTCAAGGGGTGCAAGCAGAGGCTTAGGAACAGCCGGTTCTTTGCTTTGATGCTGCCCATGAGGGAGGATGGGGTTGCCGGTCCTGCACGCGCTTTGACTTTGGTTTCACAGGAAGATGATAGTGAATGATCTGATGGAGTGCATCTTCAAGGAGACTCTTCCTGTAGCCCTGATGACCATGAAAATATTGCAAAATAGAGGCTGTTTCAAAAGAGTTTCTTTTTTGTGAGACCAAGAGATCAAGAATGTTTAACAACTCATTAGAAAGAGACTTTCTGTAATGAGTAACGGTGCAGAGCCGAGGATAGAAGCCTATAAAATGCTATCCTTAAATCTTGACACTGTACATGTGTGATGAACTTTAAAAACAGGGACTATAAAATTATGATAATAAAGTTTGTGCATGTACCTCAGGCATTAGGGCCAAGAAAGTCGGAGTTAAGAAGTGGAGGCTGAGAGCGGCTTTGCTTTTAATTTTTTTTTTTTCTCTCTGTCTCTGTCTCTCTCTCCAGACCAGGGACGTGATTTTTAAGTACTCGCATAGTAGAGTAAAGCATGTCTTGGAAGACTACAAAGAGATATTTGAGGCCTTGCCTTTCAAAGACAAGAAGAGGTGAGAAGGAAGTTGTGGGTGTAGCACTGTGAGGGGAGAGGATGAGGAGGGAACAGCGGCAAAGTGGGATGGGAATGTGTCGGGGTGGCCAGACTATATGTTAGATGGTACCTGAGATGCAGCTTTTCCAGCAGTTTATGAATTACAGCTCCTGACCCATCAAACACCATAATGAGCAAAGCTCACAGAGGAGGAAACATCTGATGTCGTGGGTTTTTAGACACTCAGCTTGTGGTGGTCCTTGGTCCGCTGCTTTTTGGGTCTAATTTGTCAATGCTCCCTTCTTCCCCTGCTTCCTGTCTAGACTCACTGAAATCTTTGATAAAATTCCCATGACGGTTGCTGGTGTGGTTGGTTACTTGGAGTCTGTCTCTCCGTATCAAGCCTACATGAAGGATGACCCTGAAGCTGCAAAAACTCTCCTCCAAGAAACTGAAAAGAGGTAAAAATTGCTTAGGAAAGTAAGCAGGATATGGGGGAGCCCCTCTTATGCATCGAGTGAAGAGGGAGGCCACGGTGAGACCTTCAGAGCTTGAGTGACCACTATAGCAGGTTGCTGCTCCTTCCCCTCCATTCTGGATGGGTATTTGGCCGAGACTTTAAACACCAGCTGCTCACAGCACTTCAAACCTCAGGTTAAGTCAATCAGGTTGGTCCGTGTAGCTGCATGGAATTCTGCACTGGTGCAGCCAGCTCGGATTCATACTGCAGGTCTGAGTGTCTCAGCACAACTTTTGATTAGCAGCCAAAAAAAAAAAAAAAAGAAACCCCACACCTAGATTGCATCCATAACTGATGTGGTGCCGTTCTGGCCCGTGGCAAGGGTCCTCCACAAGGTGAGCAAGGGAAGAGCAGCCATCCCCAGGGCACCTGAGTTTCTCCACATGTCCTGAGTGTCTCACAGCAGCAGGGTCTGGCTGGACACAAGGAGTCTCGTCCTGTTTCTTGTTTCAGGTTTCTGGAGGTGATGGGAGTTTCCTCTCCGGAAACCCAGCTGGAGTTCTGGGTAAGGCACGTCTGTGTCCTGGGGTGCAAGGGACCATGAAAGGAAAACTCCTCAGCTGGTTGAAGGAGAAAAAAATGTGGATCTCCTAATATCCTCTTTGTAACCACTTCCAAAGATTGATGGTGGGTTTTCTTAAATCTCTTTTGGTGATGAAATTCGGATCTTCTGTGGAAGGTAGACATGGGTTTCGTGTCTGCTCTTAGTCCACAACAGCCTTTCTGTGGTGCCTGATCAAGGAGACAGCCTTATCCTACCCTGGAAGCCACCAGTTTCCGACCGCAGCTGTCGGACTGTGCTGGGGATGAGCGTTACAGCCACAACCGACAATCTTGCTGATTTTCTTGCACAATAATTAAAGAAAAAGGTTTAAAAATAAAGCTGTGTTTTTGGTTCCTTTTCAGCGGAGACTGGGGAACATCTTCTGGGCTTAGACTAAGTGGGCTTCATAGTCATGGTTCACCCCAGGACCTCAGTGCCCGTTTCCTTCCCCAGCATTAGTGTGCCTTCCTGCAGAGAGAGGGAGGACAAGCTGGCCAATCTCCAGAAGAATTTAAGCTTCCCTCTTTGCCCACTGCACTGCAGCTCTGCAGCTTCTGCTTTGGTGCAGACCTCATGCCTACTCCTGTAGGCTGGTTGAGAAGATAGTTCTGGGGCAGGTAGCTGGGTCTTGGTGCAACTGCTGCCGCTCAAGGCAGGCAGGTACCTGCAAGCTGGATGAAAGTGCTGTGCCCGTGGGAGTGCTGGCTGCCGCTTCCTTGGCAATGGAGATGCCTGTGTTGGGCTGGGAGCCCTTCTTGCAAGAGCGTTTGGGTGTTGTGCTGTGTGGGTGCAGGACAGGCTACCCTGTGCCTGCCTGAGGGAGGGGATGCCATGGAGTTGGGCTGGTTTGCTGGTGTGCAGAGCTCAATGGTGAGCTGTGTTTGCGCTCGTGGAGCCAGGCGGCCACTGGCCCCTGTGCCGCGTTGCCGCCCTGTAAGGCCACGATAACGGCTGCACTTCAGCGAGGAGCAAATACGGGTGGATGGAGTGTTTCAAAGCAGGGAACAAACTGGTCTGAGTCAATTCCTGTTTGCTTTCCAGAGACCTGCAGGGAGGCCAAGCCCCTGCAGGTGTACCTCCCATTCCTCTCCCAGTCTGTGGAGAGAGCAGCCTGAGCTCTGTGGTCACCTTTGGAGCAGATGAGCTTGTTATGTTATCAAAGAAACCAGAATGGGAGTCAGCAAGCCACGATCTGTAGAGGGATCCAGGTTTCTTACCCTGGGCAAAGAGGAGCTGGGGCATCAGCCATGTCCTCGGAGGTGGAGCAGCCTCTCCCAGCTTGCTTTCGCCTGTTACAGCCACGTGCAGGAGGTTGGGTGGCCCAGGCCCAGACGAAGAGCAGGTCATGGGAGGGCTGTGGGGGCTGCACACACGGCAGATGCTCTCACTGGTGAAGATGCAGCTGCTTTGTCATCTCCCGTGGGAGCACTAGAGGTCTCACCCTGCCCACGATTACTCCATGGGAAGCAGCGTGGCCTGCACAAGGGCTGCTGGTCCAGGCTAGGGGGATCTCCATCTTCAGCAGGGCCTAGTCACTGGAGCAATCCTGCAGTCTCCAGGGCCCCACATGTCCCCACTGTGCTGCCCTGGGCAAGGAATGCCCAGGAACACATTACACACTTGTGCCAGCTGCATGTTACAGCACTGCTGTTCTCTAACCCAGACACCAGTTTTTGTCTTTGATGCAAAGTGTGCCATGGCTTTGCCAGGGCTGTTTTCTGCAGCTGAGACCTTGCTCGTGTCCCTCACAGTCCCAGCTGCCTGATGAGGGGCACCTGGAGCAGGTCTGGAGACAATTTTTTGGCTCCTTGAGTTCACCTGCTGCATGGGTAATGATGAAGTGATCTCATCTCTGGGCTCACAGCCAAAGCATTCGTGCCTGTGCCAGCCCGTTTCCCTACGCTGGCACCGCTGGATGCCCGGTGAGTCACAGAGGAATTGCTCAGCTCCGCAGATGCCAAACCCGCTTTCGCTTTCCTTCCCTCACGGGCATTGCCGGGGCGGCCGGAGCACAGCAGCCACGGCCAGCGTGGAGCCGCTGGGTCGGGAGCAGGTCTGCAGCGAGCCAGCTGCCAGCACCTGAGAAGGGCACCTGGGGGCAGCAGCCCCTGTGCCCAGCTGCCCCGCAGCGCTCCAGCCGAGCCCACAGCTAGGCTCTCCGCTTTCCGGCTCCGCTTTCGTGGGCTGTGGGATGCCCACCCAAAGCAAATTTCATTTTACTTTTCCAGCCAGAAACGATGCTTGGGGTGGTCAAAGCCACAGGCGTGTAGATGAGAAAAAAAAAACAAATCAGCCTGCAGTGCCCCCTTGCCCTTCAAATGTCTTGCTGAAAGGAGGGGAAAGATGTTGTTATAACTGGGGAGGCTTTCACCAAGAAGTTAGTAGTCACGGATGCTGCACCTCACTCCTGCGACATCTTTGTAGTTATTTACACCCTTTGGGGTCTTTTCTTGTATTTAATAGGAACAAACCATGTGGAATAAAACATCTTTTACAAAATCTGTGTGTTTCTGTTTTTAACCATATGCAATATGCACAGAAGTTGCATTCAGGCCAAGTGCCAACTAAGGAAACTGGTCCTGGTTGTGGGCTTAGGTTTTATTTAGCTACCAACCTCAGCCCCTCGAAAATCCTGCTTGATCCCGCTCACTTCGGCAGCGAAAGCTGGACCAGGATCCTGGCTGCGCTGAGAATCATGCAGCGGTGTCTGCGTTTTGGGACTGTAAAGCACATTTCTGACCAGAGCAGTTCTTTGCCCACCGGCAGCCACCCCTTTTGAGCTGTCTTGGGCGGTTACGAGCTGTCACAGGCTCCGCGGTGGCAGCTGTGGCTTTTCGTCCCGGCGCTTTTCCGCAGCAATTCCCACGCCTGCGGGTAAGCGGCAGGAGGCTGCGGGCAGGGTGCAGGGCACGCCTGCCGCCCGGGATTCCCTCTGCCGCTTTCGCTTTCCTGTTTCCAGACATGAGCACCTGTGGATTTTCCTGCCGACCTGAAAGCGCGTTCCTGTTTCGCTCTGCTCCGTGCCGGCACCGTATAAAAGCGGTCAGGATGAGGCAGAGCATCGAGACAGGCAGCCACGGGCCAACAGAGACACCTTCTACACACCCAGGTGAGGAGCAACCCGGTTCTGGCCCCGCGTGAATTCTTTCTCTTTGCACCTGCTGACTAAGGCTCTTAAATTAATGCAATGGGATGAGTTTGGGGCTACGCTTGGCTTTATGGCCCCTCTTTCTCCTGGTTCTTGGTGGGGCTCTGGCTGATGCTGGCATCCCCCTCGCCAGCAGGAGAAAACGCAGAAGAAAATGCAACCTGCCAGTGGCCAATCCTTGCTGCTGCTGCTACTGCTCCTGGGCACCAGCCTGCTGGACGCTTTTCCCCACAACGCCTCACAGAAGAGCTGTGGCCTCTCCAAGTACCACTTCCTCCTGCCATCCGAGCTCAAGCTCATCCAAGATATGAAGGAGCAGTTTGTGAGTATTGAGAGCGGCTGGCAGCGCCGGAGCCGATCCTATCCTGTGCTGGGGCCTCCCGAGCATGGGCAGGGAGGCCCGATGTCCCCCAAACACCCACCTCTTGGAAGGGGCATTTTTTAAAGCTGCTCCTTTCATGCTTCCTCCTGCTCCTAGGAGGAGACCATGCTCTTGTCGGACAGAAAATGCAACACCAGGGTTTTCCACCGGAAATGGAAAACGGCAGAGCTGTCGGTAAGAACTTAAAAAAAGGGAGCTCCCACTTTCCTGTGTTTCCCTCGGAAGGAGCGGGTTAACTTTGCGGGGAAGCCAGCGGGACAGGAAACCAAAGAGCTGCTGCCCGCAGGTGCCCGACCGCGTGCTGCTGGTGGAGGCCGAGCTGGACCTGGTGATGGAGGCGCTGGGGCACCCAACGGCGCCCGGCCTCGCCGAGCGGCATCGGCACCCGCTCTCCTTCCTCGCCCAGGCCCGTGAGGACCTGCGTGGCTGCGTGAGTGTGTCCCCCGCTTCCCCGCGCACACCGGTGCTGCCCTCCATGGCGCCCGGCCTCACTGACGTGCTCGCTCCACAGGCACCCAAGCACCAGCCCTCCGGGAAGCTGCGGCACTGGCTACACAAGCTGGAGGTGGCCAAGGAGAGGGTAAGTGGCGCTCGCGCGGCCTCTCTTCATGCGTGCGCGTGTAGTCGGGCCCACCGTGACCGACCCCTTGTCACCACCGCAGGAGACCGACGGCTGCCTGGAGGCCTCCGCCATCCTGCACCTCTTCCAAGTGCTCAGCGACCTGAAGTGCGCGGCGCTCCGCGAGGAATGTCCGAGCACCCGCACACCCTGAGCCGCTCCTGACTGAGCATGGGCACCTGCGTTTCCCCCCGCCCTTTTTTTTTAAATTAATATTTTTTTTATCGACTATTTATGGGCACCTTGGGAAGACGTGAAGAAGCGCGGCTCCTGGAAGAGGTTCTTCAGCAGGAACCTGTACCCGCCAAGGATGCTGTTGTTTTGCTGGTTTTCAAAACAAGGACTGTTTTTTTTTTTTTTTAAAGGAAATCTATTTTTGTACCTGCTATTTATTGTGGACCACATTGGGGTGGTTGCATGTATAGATAAATTATAAAATATATTTTATATGCTATTTATAATGGAAAATAAAATGTTCTTGCAACCTAAAATCTTGTTTTCACTGTGTTTTGTTATAATATCATCACTCCAAGAAATAGAACTACTTGTGGGGACAGGGGAGGAAAGTAATGTGGATTGGGAGCATTGGAAAACCAGCAAACCCCCTGTTTGCCTCTAAACAGAGGCTGATCAAAGCCCTGAGGCCACCTGAGCTGCATGGAGTTGGGGGAGGGCATAGCTTAAAGTGATGATTGCAGCTCACCCAGAAGAGCAGCATCCTCTGGGTTAACTACCCAGGAGCCATGAGCAGATCGAGTCTCCCAAAAGGAGGTCTGACAGGGTGGGGAGCAGGTGAGGTGGGTACCAAGGTCCGTGTGAGGATCTAGTCCCTGCTGCTGGGGCATCTACTGCCACCTAAAGTTGGAAACTGCCCCAGGGCCATGGAAAGCGCTAGGTTGGGGCGCTGAGCCTGGGCAGCCTCCACGCGCGCAGGGAAAGCACCGTGACAGGATAAGGAGACGCATCCAGCTCACCCCTCTCGCTGCCCAGTCCACGCAGGAGTCGCCACAGGCGAGCCTGGATGGCAGCTCTGCTGTGAGTTGCTGCTTCTTGCTTTTCCTGAGGTTTTTGCTCCACTTCCAGCATCTCCTAAATACTCTGGTTCTGCATTTATGGCTAAGATATGTAGCGAGATCTTGAGTCTCTTCAAGAAGTGTGTATGAACCAGAGTCTTGCTTGGGTAGGGATTTTTTTTTTAAAAATGATGTTTATTTCAGGCATACGTATAGCTTTCCTCCTGCTGCCTGAGCACAGAAAAGTGTCCTAAATCAGAGAAAACAATCTGGAGCCTGTGCACTCTCACTTCTCACAGAAGTTTGTCTTGGAGCACATTAGCAATAAATGGGCTCTCACTTTTCCTGGAGGCTTTAGACTGTGAGGGATGTCCACGTGAGCTGCTGCCATTATGAGAAGGTATTGACTGAGCAGTTTCCTCTTGCTCTTCTGTATGCACAAGGAATAAATAAAACCCAGGCAGTAACAAACCTCCCGAGGACTGGCACCAGCATTTTACCATCATCCTCAAAGCAAGTCACCCAGTGCAGACTATCCATCCTTTGGTGGAACAGATACCCTGTGGCTGCCTCACACCTGAAAGGCATCACGTTGTGGTAACGACCAAGCTCAAGGCAGGTGGGGAAGACCCGGTGGAAATAAAATAATCCCACTTCTCAAGTGTGGAGGGCCCTTGTTGAGAAAACCTTGCTTTCCTGCATCAGGCTCTGAGGACAGCTTGTCTTTGTGCTGTAAGAGTCTGCTAGGAAAAGTCCTTAGGTGCTGGACAACCACCCCACTGCTGTAGTCCTGAAAAACAGGCTGCAGCAGCTGCCCTTGGCAGCTTCTCTTGTGGATGTTTTTCCTCTTCCCTGGGCTCAATGTCTTGAAAATCAGCTGCCAGCTGCTGCATCTGGTCATGCCTCCTTCTGCTCTATGTGGACTTTGGTTTCAGTTTCTATCTTTCGTTTCAGTTTCATTCCTGGAAGAGAAAAGCAATTCCTTCTGTCGTCCTCTATCCCAAATGCCTTTTTAAAGTCATGATTAGTAAAGGTTCTATTTTATAGTGTTAGAAACAGGATGATGTGCTAGATGTCACTTCTCCTCCCATATGATGGTAGCACTGTTAGTAATTCTGCGCATTAGAAATCATGAGGGAATCATGACGAATCACTTCACGGTGCTCCTGTGTTGCTGTCAGCCCAGGGAGCAAGAGGTGCCTCTTGTCTGCTTTGAAAAACCATCTCTACTTTTATCTGCGACGACTTCAGGACACAGGCTGGGGGTGGCTGCTGGGGCCCCTCATTTCCACGCAGGCAGCTCGGGCTGGGGGACTGGGCAGAGACAGTTGATGGAGATGCTGGGACTCTGAACTGCTTGCTGAAAGTGCAAAGACACGCTTCAGGAGATGGAAAGAGGAGACTATTCTGACAAAAAAAAAAAAAAAAAAAGGTTAGGACTGCAGGCAGGTGGCCAAACCTTCAAAGAACAAGCAAATAAACAAACAAACAAGGTGCTTTGGTTTTTGGTTTTTTTTTTTCCCTGGCCCCACAGGCAAATCCTGGCTTTGTAACCTGCTTCTGCGTGTTTTAGCAGTGCCCAGGGGAAGCCACAGCTGAACTGTGTGGCAGCGCAGCCTCCGATCGGCATCAGCAGCTAAACGTGCCCATCGATTTTTATCAGGGAGCTGCATGGTTGGCTGTTTGCTCTAAAATATCCCCCAAATCTCCCCTGAGACACAGGCGTGGGATTGTTTCATTCTTCTCTATGCGTTTTTCTAAGCTGCCCAGCATGCAAACCCCCCACAATGTGTGCTCTAAAGCCAGTCATTACTGCAACACTAGCAATTAATAGGATTTTAATAAAGCTGTCTGTGGAAAAACACTCCAATGCTGCCGTGAGGACCGCAAAACAACAGCAGGTATCCGCTCTCTTTCCGTGACAGGTCAGTCTCTAATGATTTCTGTGCAAAACTGAAATTCTCTGGCTTGAGACGAATGGAAGAAAAAAACAAAACAAAAAACCCCATAAATTCCAAGAAAGAAACAAGCTGAGGAAAAGCAAAAGGTGTTAGTGAGCATGTGTGCTGTCACAGCAGAGATTTTCTTGGGTACTCGCTAGTTGTCTTCTTGCTTAAATGCTGTAAAATTTGTGATATCATCTTGCTTTTATCTTTTATGCATAAAATCAGATTCCCCTTCTAAAAAAGAGTCTTATAGGCAAGGTAGATTCTTATCTTCTCTCTGTACAAAGGCCTATGCAGCCTTCTCTTTGCAAGGTTTACTTTCTTGCTTTTCTGTGAGTGAAACTTGTGATGTAGCTTTCTAGTTTGCTGAGCACTTTGGGAGTGCAAACGTCAAATTAGCATCTCTTACATGATCAGGAAATCTAGGGCCAAAACAGGAGGCATCTGTGGTGCAGGAAAACAGCACGCTGCTAATTTGCAGAGTGTACAACTCAGTTTGCACAAAGGAGCAGCTTCCAGCAGGAGAAGCCAAATTTCGTAATTATACATTAGAGACAAGCATTTCATCATCATCACAGGTGTCAACGTTTTCCGGTCTGGCCTTCTGACTCTGAGCAAACTCCCACAGGCATCAGAAGGGCCGCTACCATTGCCCTAGTTTTACTTTAACAGCCTTTATTTTCAGAAAGTAACTATTACTCTTCACCAAGCAATTGCCAGCTGGTGAAGTTTCTTGCTTCCCTATCTTATAACTAATGCTAGTTATTGCATTTTTTTTCCTTCTGTTTTTTGGGGAATGACTCCCACAGAGGCTCCTGAGCTTGGGATGTGCCTCTTGAATTAGCAACTAGCGTTTGCTTCTCGTCACATCAGCAGGCAGGTTTCTTGAGGCTTTTCTACCCATCCCACTGAGTCAAAAGGCACCTGGAGAACCTAATAGGATGCACAGTTTTTCCTGTCTGAATCAGGGCTTCATAAGTGGGTTTCATAATGGTTCCCCTAGCAGGAGCTGGAGCATCACATCATCACAGGCCAGGCTTTTTCTCTGCCTGCTCATCACTCACATGCCTCAGAGCCCAGAAAACATCTGAGGAGGGGATGCTCCTACAGTAAATATTTACTCCTGAAAAAACATACATTTCACAATTGATCATCTCTGACATGTAGGTGCCCTTTCTGCCTTTTTTTTTTTTTTTTTTTTTTGTCTTAATGTAGCACTTTTTTCACCTGCTTCTGTACTTTGAACTGAACAAGCAGATATTGCTGCATTGTGATCGTGGGCACAAGGATCCTAAGGATTCACAAGGGGTCGTGTTGCTCCTTCTGATTATTCAATCTGAGCGCAATCATTGGCGTCTGTGTCACCTAGGAACACCAGAAATGCCAAGATTGGTAGGTGTGTGCACTAAGAAACAATATTAAACCAGCAAGATACTGCACTCATTTTTACATCTACTGTCCGACACTAAAACATCATTCTAACTCACTTTTCTATCGTCCCTAATGCAGTAGTTGAATAGGAGTGGATATTGCAGACAGCTGTTTTGTGCATGAGAAAAGAATTTAGGCTTTAAAGTTACTGGAGATAGTTCATGAGCTTTAAAAAACACAGAACCAGATGATGTTAAACTAAATGAGCTCTCAGTTTTAGCTCTGGAAGCAATCATGTTATCAGACACATTAAATTATCCTTCTTGAGTTAAAACTCTTATGAACCTCAACTGATGATTTCTGTTTGTCCTCTGCAAAAAGAGTTGAAATACTGGTTTTGTTTGAAACACCATGAGATGCCTGAAACTCTGCAAATTCTTGACATGTGAAATATGAAATATTTCCCAGGCCAAAGAAACAATGATGGGAAAACAGAATATTCCATAATCTGTACATAAGCCAAAAATGGGGTCTGTTAACCATTTTGAAATAGTTATTTAGCATTTGTAATAATAACTAGTGCAGAGATGTAAATACAGATGTAGAAATAACAGTACCAAACTGCTCTGGCAAATCAAAGTCCTCTGCTTTGTGTTAGCAGGGTCTCTGTCAAGACCCTGGTCTCTTTGCTTCTGGTTTCTGGAGAGATCAGCTTGAGTATCTTATACTACATCTGCTATCTGGATGAGAAAAGGAGGTGAGAGAACAAGAAAATTCCTCTTAAAAATGACAGAAAAAATAATTTTTGAAAGTGGGAAGTACAAGTGTGCATTTATCCCTCATGATGCCGTTTTCTGCATATTTTATGTCCATTTCTTTTCTACCAGACTAAATTTTGCGTGTGTAGTGAGAGGTAGGACACAGCAGGAGACTCCTGCTTCCAGTAGGCAACACTGCCATCTCTCTGCCTAGACTTGAAACAGATTTCTGTTTCGCAAAGACTTTTCTTCTCACTGTAACTTGCAATAGCAAAGTAGTCCCAGAAGGTCACAAGGCATCAAGACCTGAATTTCACTCATCACAGTAAGAGGAACTGGCGGGGTGAGAGGAGACCTGTCACCATTGCAGTCTCTGACATTCTGTATTGGCTTGACTTTAATTAGTCTTTGGACGAGGGGGTGATTAACTGACAGTCCTATACTTATAAAAATACTTTGTTAAACTGGTTATTCACAGAGCTGCTGTGCCGCAGATGCTATGTTGGTTTAGAGGCAGGTAGATGGATGCTGGTGAGGGTCTCTCGGGATATTAAGCAGACATGTTTCATGTCTTTTCTCAATAAAATACATTGTTATGGTTTTGGCTGTCCCACTGCCTCTGTCCATCCCCTGCAGGCTTCATGGCGACGTCCCACACCCTGCTCCATCTCTTCCATTCTGCAAGCTTCTTTATGCTTAATTTTGGCTGCCTTTATTTTTGGAGGATACGGGATGGAAAGCTACACAAGCACTGGAGTTTTATTGGTCTGCTATAACTGATTGTGGCTTTGCTAAAAAACCAAGTGGTCAAGTGTCTAAGGCCATGACATCCAAGCCGTTTACTCTCTGGTACTAAACACACCCCTGCAACATGCTTGCAGCACTCGTGTTACTCAACAGCCTGTTGCTGCCACCGGTCTGGAGCTGCTGTGTGGTGTAGGTTACCTAACCAGGCTCTGGCACGAAGGCCATTGGGTTCCCCTTCCAAAACCGGGCGCTGCTCCCCGCCCTCCGACCAGCTTCACCTGCGCCACAAGATGGCGGCGGGCGGCTCGCTGCCTTCCCGCCTTCCGCAGGTCTCGCGAGAGCGCGCGCGCTGTCCGCGCCGCGGGCGCCCATAAAGCTCTTGTTGAAAGCGCCGCCCCTTCCGGCGCGGCCGCCGAGGGAGGCGGCGCGAGGGCCGCGGGGAGGAGCCGCCGCCGCCGCTGTCCCGGCCATGGTGGTGGCCCCCGGAGCCGGGCCCTGACTCCGCGCTCAGGTGAGTGCGGGGCGCTGCCCCTTTGCCCAGGACCGGCCCCGGCCCTGCCGCTCTGCCCTGCCCGGGCCGCCCGCCCGCCCGCCCGCCCGCCGCGCGGCGGCTGCCGTTAACGGTCGCGGTAACGGCTCCCGCGGCGGCGTTGCTCCCTCAGGGAGGCGGATCGGAGCTTTCCCCAGCGGTGTCGCAGCCGGGGGGGCGCTCAGGGGGCCGGGGCGAGGGCCGTGTCTGGAGGAGTGAAGGGCTTCAGCCGCCCTTTGCACCTAAGAGCCTCCGAGGAGGAGTTCCCGCAGCGCCCGCTTTTGTTTTGCTTTTTGTTATTATCATTTTCCTGAATTTTATTTCCTTTACGAGCTTTCTCACACTGTTTGCCTTCTCCTTCCCCTCTTCCCTCTCCCCCCCACCTCCCTCTTCCGCCCTTCACCTCGTGAAAACAGCTGTTGTCTTTGCCCAGGAAATGAAAATACCGTGTGTTGGTTCTTTGTTTTTTTCCTCTCTAGGTCAGTGGCATCTGGGAAAGGCTTCCCTATCCCAGCTGGACCAGCTGCATTTGTGCTTGTCTCTGTTTTTCTTCTAACTCTCTCTTGTGCCTAACGTGTGTGCTTGTCAGCTTCTGTGAGCCTGTCTTCTTTGTATGGCTTACTAGAGTGCCCTGCTATAAAGCACTGCTGTGAAACAGCTTTCCTTTGCCTTTTAAATACTCCTCCATCCACTGCTGTGCTCCTCTTCATGTCTGAGTGTCGTGTCGCTTATTTCGCTTCTCCTTTTGCCCCTTAGCTGGTGTTTCAGTGCTGATCTGTTGCTGCTATAAATCTGTTGCGTTTCCCCCAAGCTTGGGAAGCAACAGGGGCTGTTTTTACAGATGCAGTGTCTAGACTGGCAGCCCAGGGGCTTCTCTCCCCTGTGCCCTGGAGCCTGGGTAAACGAACAAACTAAAGTAACCCCTGTTGTGAGGGACCTGGTAAGCTTCGCTTCAGGACTTGCTTACAAGAAGGAAGTGCCAAAATGCAGAACTGAAGCTGGTGCAGATGAACCTTTTACTGGGTCTGTGCTCTATGTTGTGACCACTTTTATATTTGTGGGTTTCTTCCAACTCGGCCATGAGCCCTGTGCACATCTCAGCTGATTCCTCCATTTCTAATGCGGTGAAAACTGGTGATTCTTTATCATTCCTGCTCATGTCATTATCTCTGTGGTCAGCTGTTCAAACTATTGTACTGGCAGACTGGATACTGAGTGCGTTTTTACAGAACTTTTGGCTTAAATTAATGAATCCGTATTAGAGAATAAATCTTGTTATGTTAGTGGTAATAGTGCTGTAAGGATACGGATCTTGTCAGCACTTTTTTGGTTTTGGCCAAACTGCTGAAAAGGAGTGAGCTGCCTTCAACTAGGAGTAAAGTCCAAATGTTATAGGAAACTCGAACATCTGAAAAATAGCCTTATAACTTGAGCACCTTCTCCACCTTTACTGTAAGTTACTCAGGTCTTTTGCATAAGTAGAGGACTGATATAGCAAAAGAAAACCTTCCTCTGCCCTGGTTACTGACTGTGTGAGGGCGACTGTCCCTCATCAGTCTGTGCTGTCAGGGTGCCACGTGTTACTCTTGTGCAATTGCACAGATAATTGCACTGCTTTGGAGTTTAGATTTGCTTCCCTTCCTGTGTTCTGGTTGCTGGCTCAACGCTCATTTCCTAGTGTCACAGAGCTGTTTCAGTGGTCCCTTCCCTTCCTTGCCTCTGGTTGGCCAAAAAAGTACCCCGGAATGGCTTGTCATTTGAAGCAGGGCCAAGAACGGGCCCCGCAGGTTGCCTGACCAGCAGTCTGGAAGGGTATTTTTATAGTAATTCTCTAGGGGGAGTGAGGTCAAGCAGTGTCTCTGCTCTGGGAGATGGTGCAGTGAAATTAGGTAGCAGAAAGTCTAAACCTTTTTCAGTAAGGCTGAATTTCCTCTTGGCCTTGCATTTGGTATTTACATAACAAACTTACTCTTTAATTCTTGTCAACAGTCATTTTTGATCACAGTCGTGTTATTTAGGTATATACTCTTTGTTTGCTAAGAATATAATAGTTTTTGAATGCAAGCCTAACTGTAAGCTGCTTTTTACATGTCTCTCTTCCTAGTGCTTTAAGCTTTGGTAACTTTTTTTGTAATACTTGTGCTCTAGGTTGAAGAGAGCAGTAATGCTAACTCTGGCAAGCAAGTTGAAGCGGGACGATGGCGTCAGAGGACCCCGTGCATCCAATCCAGCTTCTGATTCAACTCGGAGAGTGTCAGTTCGAGATAAATTGCTTGTTAAAGGTGAAAGGAACTTATATTTAAAATTTCCAGGATTTACGCTTCTCAGTTTTGCTGCCAGGATATGTTTAAAAAGTTTAGTGTAAAGTCATTTCCAGAAATATTTTTAAATTGTTTGTGTACCTTATGACTTACACTTTGTGTCTCAGATCTTCAGCATCTTCTTGGCTGTAGGACACTAGCTTTTGTTAAAATAATGGCAAAGTTAAAAAGCCTTCTGCTTGCTTTATAGAAGAAATAATCCATCCTTGGGGAGCTGTGCTGTCTCCTCAGTTAAACACTGTGGTCAGGTGTTAGCACGTAAGTGTTCCTGAGTATGTAGGAGAAGGAATATCAGATTTGGCTTGACAGCAGGATAATTCTTTGAGCAAAAACATAACTTCTTGTGACAGTAAAAAAATGTCCTGAAAGTGACATCTGTGTTCTAGTAATCTTTGATGGCATAAATCAGAGGCAGTCAACTGTGAAAGGCCAGCATAGCCTTCCAGAAAGGCTAGTGGAGGGAGGCTCGAGCTGTCTGGCTCTGCAATGATGGGGAAAGCTTTTGCTTTGCAGCAGTTCTGCACAGGCTCTTTAGCAAGACTGACCCAATATACTATTTTACAGTAAAATTGGGGAGAGGGCTTTTTTTCCATTTTTTTCTCCAGTACAAATAATCTTATATTTTAAAGTTCATAGATACTGATACTTTGCAAATGCTGTAGGTTTAACTCTGGTTAACTCCCTGCAGTAGCCACTGGGTGCTGTAATGCCCAAGCTGTGCAGCTTTGTCCAGTAGCAAGGTGTGTGTTGTTCATGTTGATGTTTCTACTAAAAATAGTCGACTGCAAAAATACAACTATTGATGTTTAAGCTTGTGCAGTTATAGTTTGTGCCATTGTGTTAAATTGTTCAAGTTTCGTGGTCTTATTTCAGAATGACTTGAGACTGGTGCTTGTTTATCTGCTCAGATAGTATTGCCTACCTATAGCACTACAAATGACTTTTTGTAATTAGTGGGGAATCTGCTGTGTGGCAGAACAGTGGAGCAAGAGTTCCTCTTGAGTTTGCTTCAGAAGCATCTCAAGCAGACCATGGAACGTTATTTTCACACCCTTCTCGCTCTCTTGTTCTAAGGATTGGGAGCGTTAATGCATTTTAAACCTTTATGTGATAACTCTTCCAAAGAGCCTCTTTTAGACTTTTAAGTTTGGGGATTCTCATTTGACTGATTTGGTGGGGGAAGGAGGGCAAGGAGGCAGTACTGAATGGGAAGAATAAACTCTTTAAACAGTCTAAATTGCAAAGCCAAACTGCCAAAGTATGTCATCTGTGTTTGTATTAGCCTACAAGCGTAGAGGGGAGAAAAAATAACCAGTATAATATAAATACACTTGAATTAAACTGGCATAGAAAGTGAAGTGCCAGAAGTATAACTCTGCCCTTAGTAAGAGCAGTAACATTCCTCACACTTTGAGTAAAACCTGATTTGCAGTTTTTTTCTTCCTGCAGAGGTAAGGTATAGACAGTACTGACATGGTTATTGCAATTATCACCATTAGCAAACAGCAGTGGGCCAAGAATTGAACAAGCTGTGTCCAAAGCTCCAAATGTTCAGAGCAGGTCTCTGCAGGCATCTGTCCAACAAATGTGAGCGTTGTCAGGTCTGACCGTGTGAAAATTGTCACTTGGCTCTCTAAAGAGGGGTGTACAAGCAGCTATTGGTCTGTTCAAAGTGACTTTTCTGGACCAAATTGGGAAGTGTGAGTAGGAGGTCACTTCAGTCTAAGCCCACTGAAAGCAAGAGGAAAATCGAGTAGCTGTATCAAAGATGGTTTTTCCCTAAGTCTCTTTGTAGCCATACTTTTTATAAGATGTAGATCAATTGCAAAATTGGTCACATGGCTTATAACAAAAACCTGTAGGACTTGCAGTAGTTGTCAGTTTTGGGTCAGTTGAAGCAGGATCTGAAATGTTGAGTGAAAGGGGGGCTTCTGTTTGCAGGTTCTGGCATTACTGATAGTCCTGCATCCTCAAATGTATTGCGTGGAGACTTGTAAATTAAATGATGCCAATTTGCTTATGGAGATGAATGATTATGACTCAACTGCTGATAAATGTAGACAGTACTTAGAAAATTCTGAAAACTAAATGTAAATTAATTCTGAATGTTGGCCCTCCTGATAAGACATTTATTTTTGAGGTAAAAAGTGATAATCTAGGTATAACTACTGAGGAGAAAATTTCGGGTCCTAATTTGAAATATTTTTGCCAAAATTGCAAGTACATGAGTTAACCAGTCAACTGTGATGGGCTGCTGTCCTCAGATGCAATGATGAAGGCAACCAAAATAAGCTGTTGCTTTTCCTACTTTTGTGAAAAAGTTACCTGTAAAATAACGGGACCCTTTGACCTGAGACATCATAAACGAAGCTCTCTCAAATCACTAAGGGTAGAAGCCTTTGAGGGGTGAGAGTAGACGAGGACTAGTAATTTAGGCTGCCAATTCCTGAAGAGAGGCTTTATAAATCAAGGAGGAATAGACTGGAAAGAGACCAAGTGGTGACTAGCATGTATCAAGACAAATGAGAAACATGCACAGTTGAAGGGGAAAAAGCAAATAGTGTTGAAGAGAGGGGGAAATAGGTAGAAATCGTGTGTGTGAAGAGGCTCTGCTGCCTCTCCATCAGGGAAGAGAGGCTCAAATAAAACACAAGTTTGTTAAAAGCTCAGTGTGACTCATTCTTGCATCTCGTAGCTGGATTTTCAGTATAGGCTTAGTTGGAGAGTAGGGCCTTTATTTTGCAGACTTAGTATGTGAGTTAGAGGAAGCATTGCACTTTAGCAACTTCCAGCTTCTCTGCTGAGAAGATCCTTCAGAGTTGGAGTTCCTTCAAACTGATAGTGTGGACTTTTTTAAATAGTGTGAATAGTGTGGATTTTTTAAATGCTTAAACAACTTCATTTCCCTCTAGAGATGAGCTTAAAGGTAGGGAGTAGTGGCCAATGCCTGTTTCTGCAAGATCCTCAGACCCTTGTGCTGGACTTGAAAGGCACCTCTTTTTTTGAAAATCTGAAAGCGGCCGAGGACAGCAAGCCAAGCACTATGTAAGGTTAACATTATATAACAGGCATTGAATTAAAAATAAATGCCAGAGTGTCAGTACCACTGACGTGTGTGCGTATTGATCACAGAGGCTTTTACCTCAGCTGCTTTTTTCTTAGCGCATCTAAATGTCAGTCAGTTTTATGTTACCACTGCTGTTTTGTTTATTTATAAATGACATCTTGAAGTTACTTGATTTACTAGGAAAAAGAGTTAGCATGGTTTATCTCTCAGTTGTCTTCATGGCACATGGGCTTTACAACCAGATTTTTAAGAATGGAAAATGTTTCAGGTGGCTTTTGTAGAAGCCCTGGGCAATAAAGGAAGGGTGAAACTTATTATGTAAAAACACAGATAAATGAGCAAAGCAAATAAAAACAAGAGAAATCAATATATTAAGACACTGGAAAAATCTTGTGGAAAATGAATGATTAATATTTATTAAAAGGAAAACCAGTGGTTTACGATAAAACACTTGCAGTGTAACTGTGATTGACATACCAAAGCTAGCAAGATACCGGGAGATTTGAAATTAATTCAAAAAAGTGTCACCAAGATACTTCTAGGACTTCACTGGCAAGGGGGAAGGCCTAACTCGGTGAATTATTTCAGCTCGTGTCTGCTTTGCAGTATACCTGAAGAAGGAAGTAAAATGATGTATTTCAATGTTTATTTTCTTGTATTTCTAACCCCAGTGACTTGTTCTAGCTATTGATGTCAGGATAATAACTTTTGCAGCATAAATAATAATCCATAGAAGCTGGAGGCTGTGATTTGATGTTACCCTGGTGAAAGTAAGCATTGGAAGTGGAAGGAATCCCTGCATCTCTTGATATATTTAATAACTGATGGTATTAGGCAAATTGTTTGCCTTAAAATACCAATCTCTTAGTTGTAAGATATGGAGGAGCTAAGAATGAAAAGCTGTGAAGATGGGTGGGTAGGAATTGTGTTGCTAGAATTAGAAACCAGAAAATAGATTTTTATTTTTTTTAGAATTTCAAGGTCTGTCTGCATCTCAAACAGTCTTAAGATGTACATTGAGTCAGGAACAAGTAGTAGAGGTGTTTTTTTGGTAAAACTAGTGAAAAATCTCGTTACAGATGAGAAAACACTAGTTTATTTTGAGGAAATAATGCTTTCAGTTTGTGTGCTTAAAAGCAGGCTGCAGTGGGAAGCATCTGGCTTGGCTCTTGGTGGCAGGCAGCAAACAAAGCACTTCTATATTCTGACTTGTTGCATTGAGCTGGGGGCAGGGGAAGCAGCACAGCAACTTTTGGTTATAGGCTGTGTGTTATAATCTAATGTTCCCATGGGTGTGTCATAAACCATATGGTTGTACACGTCAAGGTTGTATATTCCCATTTCTGGCCTCAACTGCCATGGGTAGAGGAAATTAATCATTTGTGAAATCACCTACGTGTAGTTTGGGCTGTTTGTGTTTAGTTTTCCCCGTTTTTTGCGAGGTTCTTGAACTGTTTCTGCAACATCTCCAGTTTGTACTGAACTTTTCTGAAGTTTGTGGAACACTTAAGTTTACCCCATGTGTTCTTACTCTTTCTGTAGCTCAGAATGGCATTTGAACTGTGCAAGCACATGAGCGGTGCCTGCAGGAAGCACTGTGTGGTGACTCTTGGTTATCTGTGGCTGTGTTGTCCAAATTGCAGTTTATACCCCGTTGATGGGAGCCAGCTCAGGCCCTGCAGGGTTTATTGGCTCAGGCAGGTATGTGCTGAGTCCAGAGCACCACTCTGCAGATACAGATGCCACTTGGCTCTGCTTCTACACAGAATCCAGCAAGACCTTAAGGGCATGGAGCAAGTTCGGGTCTGTAATGGCTGTATTGGAGTCTCTCCCCAGCAGAAGCCCTGGCACGTGTCTGCGCTTGCCCCGTGGCCTTTTGGACCTGCCCGGGGTGGTTTATTGGCGTGGGTGCTGGGTCTTGCAGCCCTCTGGCACTTGCTCTGCCTTGGCACTGAGCCCTCTTGACAGAGAGAGGAATTCAGATGCTCTGCAGTATTTCTGCAGTGCTGCTAGACCAGCACTGACCTGAGTCAGCAAACATTGGTTTCCAATGGAAGTTTTTCAGTGTTTTCTTTGCACTATATTTCTATAAGGTGGACTACTCAGTTGTCTGTCTCTGCGTCTTAAGGAATGGTGAGATGGCTGTTACAAATGGAAAACACTGGTCATGCTTCTCCTTGAAGTATTGCTTGTGTAAAGTGCTTAAATTGGGGTTTTTGTAACTCATGCTGTAGAAACTGTTGCTTCCTGGAAGGGGAGGTCAGTGCATGCATGGGATTAGGTTTGTTTTTGTTTAGTGAGGTTTTTGAAACCCTCTGAAGCTCAGTGTGATTGAGCTCTTAATAGTTGCTAATTTTGCTGCTTCTCAAATCTGTTAAGACATCCACAGAAGTTGGCAGAATGCACAGAAGCGTCCTCTTAGGAGTGTATTTTGACAAGGCTATTGCTTTTTGTAGGCAATACATAAAGCAGAACATCAGGATCATGATGAAGTTCAAATTCTATGGTCAAAACATGCTCTTTTAAAGCAGTAAAACATGAAAATGACGTCAATGTCAAGACTTAACCAAAGATGTATACAATTTGAAAAAAACTCATAAATGCTGTGGTTTTGGCCCTGTAAAATGTGTTTGTTGTTGTTGCTCACCCATATTAACATGGTGCAAGGGATAACATCTATTTCCTGACTCTTCTGCTGATAGAAATTTTAGATTGTTGAAGCAGTTAAGGATAGAGTTGTTGGTTCTTGTAGTGGTTTGTTGCTGAACTAGAAACCTTTTTTTGGTGGGATCTAGGCCTTGCTCACACAATTTTCATGTGTGTTACAGCCTTTCTGTTTGCACACTTTAAAAGAGCTTGTTGATCTATACTTGTGCATGTGTGCATCTTTGTTTTGGTACAAAAGCTGTGTTTTCTTACAAAAGCACAGAAACAAAATGCTCAAGTCTGAATGTTTTGCAGGTAATGTTGAAACCCTTGTGAGCAGCGACCTTCCTGCTGAGTGCTGTGGAGGTGACGCAGCCACTCAGCGGGGCTGCTGCCACCTTTGCTCAGATTTGGTTCCCTGCATTCTCCATTTCCCCCACCTGCCCTTTGCTCAGGATTAGCAAAAAGCAGGTGGGATTTGTTAAGTCAAACTGTTGGCAAGAGAAATAAGGAAAAAGAATCAACAGCCATCAAAGGGCCTCGTCCTGAACTTCCCTTGCAATGTGTTGCAATGTTGAGTTGATAATTCCTCCCAATACTTGAGGCTGGTGAATATGAAGATGGCAGGCTGGGGAGGGAGCATATTCTGATGTGGGTGTGTAGCTGCAATGCATAGTTGGTTACTATCTGTGTTGGCAGTTGAAGCGTTTTGAGCTGCTCCAAATACTGTGTTCTTCCTTTCTGCTTCCTTGCTTACAGATACTTGGGTAAAATTGTGAATTGTGATTTATCTTTCTCTCCTAGCTCCTGAAAGTAAAAACCCTGGCATATATTGAAACTTTTTTTTGCCTGTTGGGAAGACTGCTCTCTGAAAACTTTAAGCCTAAGCAGCTCCCCGGTAGAGTGTGTATCTTGGAACCATGCTTTTGGTTAAATCAATTGCAGGTCCTCAAATGCTGCCACATGTAGAATTTTACAGTTGAGTTGTGAAATTTTAATACAAAAAGCACAATACTGTTTACTGGGATCCTCCGTGCACTTTAACTTGGTGCAGCACGCTGCAGGCATGGGGATACACAAGTGCAGGCTGCTGTGCCAGATGTTGGATATATAAATATCATATGAGATGTGAATATGATCATGAGGGTTCTTTCATATCATATATTAATCTTTTTGCATTGTTTTGGTGTTCCTAATGCTGTTTTTCCAGGCAGAGCAATGTCTGGTATGAGTATGGGCTTACGCAGGAGAGCAGAGAAGGGGTTAGTGGGAGAGGGAAAGCTGATGAAGGCTGCAAGAAGAGGACACAGAGTAGGAATCTTAGGGCAGCCATGCATCAGGGTTTCAGTAGATTATACAGAGAGAGGATGGAGCATCCCAAACACTTGAGACATCCTTGCCTGGGACCATCTTGTCACTGTGTAATCTGCTAAAGAGGGGAGCTTTATGGGCCTTATGTGTCTGAAGAGCCCCACTATGTAGACCAGCTTGGTGTGGGAGCTGGATAAGGTCATCTCTTGGAGCACCAACCATCTGTGCACAAGAAGCCCTGGTGCTTTAGACTTGGCAGAACTGAACTTCTAATCACAGCAGGGTATATTTGCATTATCTGTAGGACAGATGAGCCTTTTCAGCAGTGAATTACTGGATAAGGTGTGTGACTTGGAGGGGAATTTCTAGGTAAATAATCTATGCTTCTTAGTTATGTTTTTTTAGGGTAAAATTTTATTTACCTGGTAGTTTAAATTACAAGATCTGCTAATTCAGACCACAGGAATGGCTTTATGCTTGCATAAATAACAGTATTTTTTTCTCTCTCTCTCAACAGAGGTTGCAGAACTTGAAGCTAATTTACCTTGTAAGTATAGTATTTCATGGCATGTGTTTTGAGGAGAAAAGCTTTGCTCAATGTGATTGTTTCTTCTGAAGTATGAATGGTTCATGCTGTCTCCTTTCCTTAAGGAAAGCCATACCAAATTTTGCCAGCCCTGCAAAGGCTTAAGCGGGTTTTCTTTGTTGCCCCTTATTAGTGCTTTGGAAGCTGTATTGATTATTTGTTTACCTTATGAGCTGATGGTGTGTGGGAGATTCCTTCTTTTACCAGGCCACAAAGTTACTGGCAGCTAAAGAGCATATTTGTTACCTTGCTCCTGTCTCCTACCTTCTCTCATAGCTTCCAAAACAGGAGTAACTCAATTCTCAGGAATTCCATTAAACCAACCTAGTGCGCTTTCATTATGCGTGTAAGATGTAATCTGAAATGCTTATTAGTAGTGGGAATGGTCATAAATGCTAAAAAACATAATCTGTATTTCTTAAAAAAAGATACTGTGCTTTTTAGCCCTGGAGTCTGCCTTTAATGTTTGTTTTTGCTACAAGCAGATGCTACTAATGTTCTCTTTAATAAAATAGTATTTTAGGGAATAGTAAAATAGATTTTTAGAAGTTACATGGTAGATCACCTGTTACTTCAGAAGCTGAGGATAAATAGTTAATTTCTTGATCTTTGAGATCAGTAGCTTGAGAGAGAGAAACTATTTCAGTAATGGGCAGCAAAATGAAAAGCCTTGTGAAGGGAATGAAGTTGCTAAGGCTCTGCAGTTCTTTCTAAGAGGGGTTGTTGACAGCAAAGCTGAGTTGTTGCTGAGCTTTGCTTGCCTTCAAGCATACACCAGGGCAGCAGCTTTTGGTGTCTGGGTGATTTTTCCAATCCATATGGGCAAGCAAAACAAGTCATTGCATGGTAAACTTAGAGGCATCTTTACAGCCCATTGCCTGTTTCATGTAGCTTCTTGTGCTTCATGTTCTTATTTCAGAGTAGTGCAAAATGCTTCCCAAGCAGGGGAAGAGGCATAAGCAGCAGTCAGAGTATGTATGCAGGTTCTCGCTGTGCGGTCTTGCCTGCACACTCATCCTTCAAAAGGAAGCAGTGAATATTCTCCCTGGTTATACTGGCAGGTCACTCGAGGTGTTTCTAGTCTTCCCAGTCTGAGAGAAGCTTTGCTCACCATTTTTGGTTTAGATCTCTGCATGCTGTGTCTTTTAAGTCTCCATTTTTGCAAGCACTTTTAAATCCAGATGAGTTCTTATGTCTCAACCAACAATTCTTCCTTCTCAGTTAGAGGTCCTGATGGAAAAATATAGGAGCAAAAGTATGGAATAGAAGCTTCAAAGAGGGAGGACGTGAAGAGGTTCTTACTCCTCCTTTGGTTGTCCTCATCTTTCTTGGACAGTCCTACTGAAAGCTTACACTGAGTTATTTTAGCTTTTTGTTAAATTTTATTGCATAGATTTTCTGTTGGTAATGGAGGTTAGAGAAAAGTATCTCAGTGTTATTACAATGCAAATACTTTACTACAGTTTGTGGACATCACCAGTTTTATAGTATATTTTTCTCACAGATGTGGTTTGTACCTCTAGTGTTGTCTATTTTCTTGACAAAGGCAAAAAGGAGAGCCAGCTTGCCAGATTCAGGAGCTAAAGGCTGCCTAATGTGGATCCTAATGCGTCCATGGACATAGGCATCTTCCAGTGCCAGCTTGACTCCGCTGTGTTCAAGAAAGGCTGTTTTTGTGCCCCAGAAGGGTTTGTGTCATCAGTTGTAAATGTTCTGCTGTGTTGTGGAGTTGTATCTGCTGGATGGAAGCCATTGACTAGCTTCATTACAGCCCCAGACAACCTCAGATATTGTTGTCCTCTTCATATGTGTTCTAATTATTGTCCTTCAGCTCCTACAGTGTGAGAATGCAAACAGGGTTTAGTTTGCAAGGATGCTCCGCCAGTTTAGTGTGCAATTGCTTACACCGGACATAAAACACATATGAAGAGAGCTTGTCCTGGTAGTTCTCCATTCCATTTGGAAGGTGCTCAAGGAAAACAGTTCAATGTTGGAAGCCCAGAGTAGAAAAGGGCGAGTACTTAGTATGTGTGGAGATAACAAGTTTGAAGCTCTTCAGGATTGCATAGGGTAGAAATGTATAGTAGCTGTGCATACCTCTCAGCAGGCGAGCTGGAATGCTGGGCATGCCTGTGATGTCTTTGCTTTCCTGGCATATGGTTGTGCAAGTCTGCAGGCAGTGTAGGAGCTGCAGTGGCTCTGAAATTGCACTGTCCACTGCTGGTTCTGGAGTGGTCACTTCATCAGATTCAAGTAATTTCTGGCTGATTGTGATGCTCTGAGAAAGAAGCGTTGCCCGATGGATTTAAAATGTTCCAGATGCCAGGTAGAATGGTAACTTCTTTTTTTAAAGGATTAAAAAAAAAAACCCACAAAAAACAAACTATGTAGCTGTGCTAGATTGGCCTCTCTTTTTCTTTCTAATACTAAAACTCCCTGAATTTACCATTATTAAATGATTTTTTTAAGAATTTTTTGAAGGGACAGCATAAGGATCTGATAGCCTAATGTGATTTTGAAACTCATTCTTGGTTTTAATGTATTAAGCTAATTAACTAGCAATTCATTCTCACAGGTCATGGAATGAAGTGCCATTAGTACAGGTGAGGTGGTGTAAAGAGGGATGAGCGATAACTCTGTGGGAAGGGAGCACTTTTCAGCTAATTAAGCTCTTATGCTAAGGGTTAATTAGGGAACAAGTATGGAGTATAGGAAAGATGATTGATTTAATAATGGTGGAAATAAAATTGTTTGATGCAGACCTGTTTTCCTTGCAGGTACATGTAAAGTGAATTTTCCTGACCCGAACAAGCTTCATTACTTTCAGCTAACTGTAATCCCAGGTAACTTTCTAAACTTGTTTTTGGTTTTGAGATTTTGGTTAGCAAACGGAAGTCCAAGATTTTACTCAAAAATCCAATAAAATATTTTGGCAATAGTATTTAAAAAACTGCATGTAATGCAATGACTGAAGCAGCAGGGAAGAAACTAGGTTGGATTTTTGACAGTCAAGTTCCATTGAAAATAGTGGTTAAAATTAGGCGAAGTTAGGAAGTGCATCTTACTTGCTCACTTGGAGAACATTTTTTTTCCTCTCAGCCAATTTTGGCTTTCATGGTTTTGTTTGCTGAGGAAAAAATCTTTGACAATGCCTAGAAATTACTGTGTTACAGCCCTGTTATGTTGCAGATTTATTCTTTTCTACCAGTTGTTTGATTCTGTAGAGTTAAAAAGAGATGACAGATATAATGTTGGCATAAAGCTTCAAATACATGTGTGCTTGGAGACATCAAATATGTGTGAGTCTTTATCCTTGAATGTTGAACGTGGAAATCAGGCTTTTTACTAATACCTTTTAAGTGTGGAGCTCCTATTGGAATGCTGTTAAATAAAAATGAGGATGCAGTAATGCTTTGTCAGAATTCATTATTTCCAGGTAAGTTTCTTAATAGTTATCTGAAATGGAGCTTGTTGCAGGTATAATTAAGGCTCTCATCAATTTTAGAATGCCAAATTGGGTTTTGTGGATGAAGTTCTGTGGAAGATGAACTGAAACTTTGGGTACAGCTCCTGTCACTGCTATATCTTAGAGGCTTTGTGCCACTGTTTAAACACGAGCATTTACTTAGGCAGCACACTCTAAAATGTCCAAGCTGCTACTGGGATCAAGCACTTTACTGCCTACAGATTTCTGTCGGTCTGCATGTTGTGTAGATGTTTGTTAACAGCAGAATTGTTATTACTTGTGCTGTCTTAACTGTACCAATAACAACCTTCTGTTACAAATAACTTGAGGGATGCAAGCATGTGTATAGGAATGCTCCCAAAAATCCAGTTTCTTGATACTAAATGGGCACTAGATGTCACTCTTGTCACTGCTTTCCTGGGATCAACTAGCACTTGGCAGAAGAAATTCTGGGTAGTCAAGATGCCTGTTCATGTAACTTCTCTGATGGGAAAAATGAGGGAGGAAAATGCTCTATTCAGTATAATCAAACTAAAATGAAAGTGGGAATATGGAACTGCTAACACCTTATTCTGTAGAGGAGATGTTCCCATGTATGTGGTGAATGCTACTCTGTTCATCAGAACCAATTATTTGCTCTTTTATATGATATTCCTTCCTGTAGTTTAGAAATGACTTGACTTTGCAAGGTCATCCTGATGCAAGTCAAGAATGTCTCAGATGTGAAGCAGTGGTAGCTTTATATTAATTTCAAAGTGCCTTAGTACATAATGAGTTAGTCTCTTAGTCTGTTGCTTAGCAAGGTGGTGTAAGGCCTCACAGTGCATGGATTTTGTGCTAGCTTCATTGCTGAGATGATCCTGGGAATGAGATGATCTTAATTAACATGTTGTTACTCTAAATATAGCTGCACAGCTGAAGTCTCTGCAGTTGCAGTCTGGCCGAAGTAAACATCTATTTTCAGCTGTGCATAATTCAGGTACAGAGTCTTGTGATCAGCTGCAGCTTAGCACAGCTTGCTGAAGGCAGGATATAATGCATAACAAGAAAATCTCTGCAGTTTTGATTAGTTTGATTATTGCAAATGTCTTGCTCTCTTGTATGCTAAACCCTGGTTTTCTCTGGGATAGCAGAGGCAGCCAGGTGGTTTTCAGGTTTTTTGACTCAGATAAGTAAAAATCTCAGCTAGAAGCACCTGTTGTAACATCTAAACATTGTTACATGAATCTCCACATTTATCAGAGAGCAGCATTTTTTTCTTGTGCCCAGAATCCCCTCTAGTGCTGAGTAGTTGAGTTACTTCTAGAAACTCAGCTTGTACATCTGGCTCCTGTGGGAGCGCTTCCAAATAGCTCTGCAGCTCTCCAATTGCAGAGCAAGCGCTGTGCCCAGCCCGGCTGCTGCTGCCAGGGAATATTTGGTGCCGCCTTTGGCACTCGCTGCTGGGGGCTCTCTAGTAAGTTGGGTAGGCAGGTTTGAAACTCTGCATCATGAGGAGCTGCTGGTAGACGCCATTCTTAGGGTTCCCAGTTGGATCATTTGCCATTGCAGTGCTTGCATCCTTTAGAAAAGCTGGTAACAGTATGGGAACTGTGGTGGTATGTATTGTGCTGCAAACTTGTGCTGTTAAAGTATTTCATGCTGAAGTTATTTCATATTTTGATTAACACAAGAGCTTGTGTTCTCTGAATGCAAATTGAGACCAGGGCAATTTCTCACAGTAGCTGTTGGTTGGGAACTGTGCAGGAACCAGCTGAACCTGCTTTATAACATGATGCCACATGTGATCAGTGCCAATATGTCTTTTTATGGGCAAAGTCTCTTCTTGGGGGCTGTTTTATGCAGTCGTGTTGGCTGGTTGTGAATGAATAATGAAAGAACCTTTTTTTAGGTTCTTGAAACTTAAATGAGATGTGAACTTTACCATCAATGTCAAGCAGAAATCCTTTTTGGGGGTGTAGAATAAAGCTTCAGCTCCCTTGTTCTCTGCTTCTCATCATAACCTTGCTGTATTTATATCACAGGATTAGTCTGACAGGCAGTGTCAAATGAAAAAGGATTTGTGGCAGATCTTGACAACGATGACTGCTTGTTTCGCATAATAAAATTTGTTTAAACTGGTGCTCTGAGAAGTTTAGGCTCCTTTATGTGATAGCTCTGCTTGCAGTGCGTGTTGAGTGGAGGCGTTAGGATCCTGCTAGAAAGCAGGAAAAACTCGGTTTCTCCCTTGTGATGGTAAAACCTACATGTTCCTGTGACGGTAAAACCTAGTTGTTGCAGGGGCAGATGCTGCTGATGTTCTCTGCTGTCTGGAGCTGCTCCTTCCTTGTGTAGTCTGAACCAATTCTGTCCTGTAAAAAATGTCCTTATGGCACCAGTTGCCTCTTACATTGTAACCAGTAGGATGGGAGATAAAAGCTAGGAAAAATGAAAGGTGTGGAAAGGCAGGCACAGAGTCTGCTGGCCACACCGACATTTGGAATCCAGAACTGGATGCATGACATGGGTTGGGAGGCAATGGAGTTTGGGGATAGCTTGCAGATGAAGAAAGCTAGAAGAATGTGTGGAGTTAATGTGTCTTCCCTATAATTCCCAGGCAGTTGGGAATGTGTCTTCCCTATAGTTCCCAGGCAGTTGGGATAATGTGGGATAGTGTGATTAGTTTTTGCATCCTAATCTTGAGGGTGTTGATATAGAGGCTTTTCTGTTCTGCTTGCTGTGGCAGGGCAGATACTGGTGAGCTTGGCTGAGCACTGCAATGCTGCATATTTGAGTAGCTGCCCTCAAAGTGCCTCCTCTGTGCCCTGTCCTTCTTATCTTGCCTTTTCACTTAAAGGGATAAAGAGGAAGTAGTAGAATTTAGTAGCCTTAAAGACTTGAATTTAAGCAGTAGGAAAACTGGAGCAGTGGCACTTACCTAGTCCCTTCCTGCACAAGTCTGTGTCAGTGGCCAGCTTGAGTTATGCTCTAAAGCCATTTCAGCTGACTGCTTTATTTACAACTCTTTCCTCACTACTAACTTTGCTGAAACTTCAGCTTTTATCACACATTTTCACATGAGTAACAAATAGTAGATTTTCATCCCAGTATGACTGTAGGTGGGAAAAAGGGGAAGAAAACCACATGGGAAAGCTGCATTATTTCATTTGTGAGGCCATAAGATGCTTCATCGTGAAGGCTCGCAGTCTGGTTAATGTATTGCCTGATTTCTGGACAGGTGCTGGGCTTTCCAGGGATGTGAATTTTTAATATGAATGTGAGTGATTGGTGCTGAGTTGCCTGCTTTGTTTCTTTAGAGATTTATAAACATACAGGGAGGAGTCTGAAAAGGGGGAGGAAGGGATGCTTTGCATTTGGTAATGTCTCCTAACTGGTAACAGGAAAAAACAGGATGTCCAAAGCATTTTTTTTATTAATGTTAACATCAATTGATGCCAAGGTAAACCAGGAACATGAAATGAAGAGATAGCAAATGTAATACAAGACGAGGAGTATTAATCGGTGTTTGAGGCAGGGGGCATTAGTTGTGTAGTGCATGAAAAATACCTGCAGGTAGGATGCAGAGTCCAAAGTGTTCTGAGATTTTCAGTGATATTCCAGCCTTATGCAGAACATAATAAAATTGATTAAAAAATATATAAAATATTGCATGTGGCTATAATACACTTGGGCGTTTAAGATTGTGTTTTGCTGACAGAAGGGGTATTTTTTCACTGCCTGGTCCTGCCTCTTCCCTGACTTTGGGGATTGTTTAAGATTTGTATATCAGTTCATCCCAGAGCTTCTGTAGGAGATTTGTTTGGCTCTGGTAGAGGGGAGTGTGTGTTTGTTTTTGCTCTCTTTTCTCCAGAAGAGGCCCAGAGAGCCTCTGGGCCATGTCCCATCTCCAGTTGGTGAACAATGAAGTCCTACCAGAGCTGGGGAGAAGGGGGGCTGCCTTGAGCACCCCCTTCTCCTGCTTCCGCACACGGAGCTAGTGAAGAGCCACTGCTTGCTCTTCTGTACCTCTCTTGAGAGATGTCACCGTGGTCTTGCTGTCCTTGCTTGCCTGCTGTAACACTCCTGTGCGGTGCGGAGGGGCTGGCCCCTGCGCCTTGGCATGCGGCGAGATGGGAGCCTGGCTCTTCCCCTTGCTGCGTGGCTAGCAGCAGGCTGAGGTCTTGGCCACACTCTCGTCTCAATTTCTTTTGGACAACTGTATTACAATTGTTTAAATATGAGGGTTTTCTTTGGCATATGGCATGTGTGGATGCCTACATTGATAGGCATCTCCCTGCCTTTTTTCTCTCTCTGTATCTGTACTTCCTTTCTGGCAAAGTGTATATTGCCTGACAAAACTGCTTAATGAAACCTCCTCCAAATTTGCATTGGGTTGAAATGGAGCATGTCCCTGTCTCTGCTGGGCAGACTGTTAAAGGTAGATGGATGGCCAAGGATGGCAATTTCCCACATGTATATAGGATGGCTAAAGATCTGAGTGAGGTGCTAGAAATCAGTAGCTCATTGTGGAGACAGCTGCAAATGTTACCATGTGGGATGGAGAAAAACAGCTTTTTTTTCTTTTCTTTTTTTTTTCTGCCTGTGCTACTGTCAGAACCAAAAATTCATGTTGATGCTCAGTGCTCTGAATCTCTGGCCCACACAGAGGTTCCTGGGAGACACCTAATCACACCATGTTCCCCAGTGTCACAGAAGTGAGAATTTGTTATTTAGTGGAGCAATTCTCTCTTTTTTCCTGGGCAGGTCAGCCGGTGAGAGGTTGCAAGGGGAAGAGGAGCAGGCTGCAGGCTTGTGATGGTGTGAGCATCAGCTAGGAGCCTCTGGGAGCACAGTACGGAGTGCAGGGGAAGCGGGGGAACAGCGTGTGCTGGCTGCTGGGAGCACGAGCCCCGTAGGGTTCTGCTTTACAGAACTCTTATGTTGATTTAAAAAAACGAATATTGAAGAGACTGGTGTGTAAGGGTAAGCCTTAGTGACCCTTAAATCTTCACCATAGCTGATGGTGCATGATCTGGAGATGCAGAGTGCCTGAAGTGGTTTGGACTAGAGCATCTCTTGGGTGTCTGTGACCTTCGGTGTGGGCAGGGTACCTACCTGTGTCCCTCAATTTAAAAAAAAAAAAAAAAGAAAAGAAAAAAAAAAAGGCACAGTGTCTGCATGCCAGACAGACCCATTCCACATCCTTTGTGAGTTGTCTTGGCATCTGAGCACAGAAGTCTCCAGAGTTTCAGGTTGGCTCTTACCTATCCCAATCTCCGGTTAAGTACAGCCAGATATTTTCAGGCTTTGTGTTTTAGAATTTGGCAGTTTGACTAATTCGGTATTGAATCTGAAGTTGATGGAGGCAGGCAGGTTTTCCAAGATGATACGTCATCCAGGATGGTAACTACTGCTAAGAGAAACAAGCTTGTTCTCTTACACATGGCACCTCAGCATGCTGCAGTATTGCTCCACCTGTGCCCAATTTCATATGTTGTTTTTAATGCTTGATCTGGCTGGATGCAAAGTGTCTGGTTCCTGGATAGCTGCAGTTGGCCCTTTAGGGGTACCTTACAGCTGCAGGGCCCCTTCCTACTTGAATTCCTTACCTGACAGTGATTTCACTCTTACTGTGCTGCCTGTGAGCCTGGCTCGGGAGTTTAGTTCCTTCTAGAAAGGGAGACAGCTCTAGTTCTTTTCTTCCCTTCCTCCCTAGTTAGGGCTCGAAGGAAGTCTGATAATTGGAGGGCCATGGCTCTCTTGGAGGAACAGAAGTGTGGTGAGTGCAAGAATAACCTTTGATATTTCCACAGTAAGAGATAAGGCTCACACTTGGAGAATGAGGTGAAAAGCAGCACATTGGGAATTGCATTTTCATACATGCTTTCTACACAGCTCAGTACAGTGCTAATTATTTGACCAACTGATCTCTCTGTTGCAGTAGTGGGGTGTTACCAAGACACAACTAGTTTTCTGCTTTTTTTGGTGCATGAGTTTTTCTCTTTTTCACTCATTTATCCTAAGAGATCCTTTAGAGAGCGGAGGAAGACACCTTTATTTTACTAGCTGGAATTGTATTCGAGGATGACTCAGATGTCATTCTGCTTGCTGTAGTTATTGTTGGCAAATGACTTCAGTGTTGGCCTTTAGGAAGGGATATTAATAATGAGAAGAGACTGGCTTTCATCTGGTTAGAGAGTAAAAAAGAACATGGAAAAACAAGAAATCTGGCCATATATTCTTAGGAAAGGGGTAGTCAAAAAATAGGATGATGAACATGCTTTCAAGTGTAATTTTACTAGATGACATTAGAGTTTTATGGTGTAAGTAGATTACAAAGATCTAAATAAATGCATGGAGTTACCACTGAATGCTACTTAATGACAGGTATTTTGTATTACATGAGATCTGTTTCTTTTATTTAACCATGTGTATTGTGGCTTTTGTTTGTTTTACTAGATGAGGGCTATTACCAAGGTGGAAAGTTTCAGTTTGAAATTGAAGTTCCTGATGCCTACAATATGGTGGTGAGTATTTGTCATTAGTCTAATAGTTGTCATTTTGTATTTCCTTTCCATGTAATAGGACTTCAAAGGGAGCTTGGCACTGAGCCTGAGAAAAGCTTCTGTCTGCTGCTAAAATTTCTTAGAATCATAGAAAAATCTTGGTTGCAAGGGACTTTCAGAGGTCATCTAGTCCCCTGCTCAGGCCTGAAATAGTGTTAAAGTTGGATCAGGTTGTTCAGACCTTGTTGATGCCATTTGAAAATCTTAGGACAGCATTTCCCCCGTTCCAATGTTTCATTATCTTCAATGTGGATGTTTTTTCTTACCTGGTCAGAATTCCCCTTGTCTGTTACCTCTGATCTTATAGCTGAGCGCCTCTGAAAAGAGTCTGTCTCCATCTTCTCTGTAGCTTCCTATTCGGTAGCCGAGTTTGCAGTTGAGTTTGCATCAGTTTTTCAATACATTCAGTACTGTGTCCTACTTGAGACTCCTCTGTATTGCAAATGCAGCCTCAAGAATCCCAGCATGGTGAAAGCAGCTCTTCCCTTGAGTCCTTAAGGGAAGAAGAAAGAAAGAGAAAAGAAAGCAGGAAAAAAACACTGAGTTTGTAGCCTCTGACAGAAGCTGATTGGAAGAGCAAACTAAGATCTCCCTTTTGGCTGAGGTCCTTTTGTCTGCTTGTTATCCTTAAGACATGCACTTAATGATTATTCTCATTAAAATGATTTACATATATGAAAGAAATAGGTAAATGAAAAAAAAAAGCCTTTTGTTTTTCTGGGGCCTTCAAAATTGTGCTTGTAGTTCTGATATTGGATTCTGGTGTCCTTTCTAGAACAAATAGTGCAGGATGTTCAAAGTGGCATCTTTCTACTTTACCAGTTCTGCTTGTTCTCAGGCTGCTTGAATATTTTAACTATTTCAATAGATAGTCAGCAAACAGTTTCAGAGAATTGCCACGTCTTTTTATGGAAAAAAAAGAAAGCTTCAGACAACCTGCTCTTTTCAAACATGAAAAAAAGGCCAGTGTTTCATGTCTTCATTTTACTAAAATTTCAGATTCTAACAAGAAAAGGTAGATGGACTATGGTAGATGATAGATGCAATAAGGATGACTACAGACTTTGGACTTCAGCTATCAAAAGAGCAAGGTTGGCCCCAAAAGTGGGAAACAGTTAAGATAGAAGTCTTATTCTCATGAATTACTCCAGACACTCTGTTCTGATAACTTGGAATGTGGAAAAAACTCATGTGAACATTTAGATTGTAATACGCTAGTATTTAGGTGTAGGAGCCATAGGAAGAATGAAGGTTCATTTGGGTTCAGTTTCAACATTTTTTGGTAGTCTTCTGTAACCTTTCTGCACCCTGATGTTTTCAGCTCTTAGTGTTGATAGTTGAGAGCCCTCGTGTTAGAGGGGCTGAGGAATGAGTAGGGGAGGATACAAGTGAAACATCTGAGAAGACCTTTGACTCTTGTGTTTAGATGCCTCAAGCCTCAATACAGCAGCATATATGTGCTGTAGTTGCAGTCACAGCATTATTTACATGACTTTATATATACACACAAAGGAGGTGCAGACTTTTGGAATTTTAATAGTTCAAATTCCCAGACTAAGCTTGGAGAACAGAGCATTAACACTAGTGGTGGAGTAGAAAAGAAAGGCTGCATTTCTCAAAGTGACAAAGACGCGTTTGTGTTTCAGAAGATGCCTTCATAACTTCTGTAATATTTTCTTACAGTCTATAGCTGTGTGGAATATGTATTATATTTCTTTTTAAGTTGCTGCCAAGGGGGGGATAGCCACGTTTCTGAAACAGCTATGAATTTTCCTGCTGCTTTCCCAAAAGTCCTGTTCTCCCCTCAAAATAGTGGTCAAGGAAAGCAAGCAACATTTAGCAATATTTTTCTGGTGGACTCTGTTACTGATAGAATTTTTCTCTCTAGTGTAGCTTCGGGGAGCTGTTTTTCATCAGTCCCCCCTACAAAGGACCATACTGCTTGCTGCACAAGTCCTTCTATCCTACTTGATTCTTTAATTTTGAAATTGGTAACAAAGAGAAAAATAACACAGCTTGAGGAGCTCAGACCTTTGCAGTTCAGTGGTTTATTAAACTGGTGAGAAGAGAGGTTGTTTTGAGTCTCCTGTTGCTCTGCCCAGTTAGTGGGACAGTCTCCTACAGGTTATTTTCTTCAAAACAGTGGATAGGATCATACGTCTTTATTGTTGCACTTCTATTAGTGTATGTAGGTGTTGTAGCTAAAGCTCACGCAGCTGTGATTATTTTTAAGTTACCCTTAACCTCACTGAAGAATTTCAAGCCGTGGTACAGGTCAATTTTATTAGCTTATGTGTGTGTTTATGCGCATGCTGTAAATATAAAGCTGGTAATTTAAAATGCCTACATCCTTATTCTCATGCGAGTAAACTGGGCTGTCACATTCCCGTCGCCCAGGTGGCTGATTTTTAGTCCTCTTCAGCAATAGCAGCTTAATAGCTTAGGAGTAATGCTGGGTGTTAATTAAAACAGAAGGGAAGCCTATGCAATATATATTCATTCTGTCTTCTTAAATTTTCTGTTTATGGTACTCACCTGATGAGCTCTGTTGTGGGGAACTACTCATTACACGTTGAAAGGAGAATGGGGCTTTTTTAATTCTAAAATGTGGCAATGAAAAATTCCTCTGTTTTGTTACAGTTGGGTGCTCAGTGTTAATTAGGGGTTTCTAAGTTGTGGCATTACTGTGCAGATGTGTTTCTGAAGAGAAGAAAGCAGTAGATTGAAGTATGGACAGGTCATTAATGAAAACATGTAAATTCACAGGTATCGGGACAGCAGTGCTGAGGCCTCGGTTTTTCTGCCGGGCAGGACTGGAAGGAAATTGATGGTGACAGTGTCTTTAAAGGAGCATGTCAGCATTGCAGGTGCTTTTTCACCCCTAAGCAAGGCTGGGGTGCAACACATCTACATCAGCCCCTTGCTGGGCTGCTGAAGCTGCCTGTTAGCAGGGAGTGAAAATACCAGGCGAGACTGGCAAGTCATTAGAGCTCTGCCTCGGAGCCTGCCTTTTCTATCTAATTTCTTTAACCTGCAGGGGAAAAAAAAAAACCATCTGTTTTTAAAGCTATAAAATGCATAATTTATAGTGTAATTTCTGTAACAGCATCCTTTAACTTCTGTGGTTATGCAGTTGCCAAAAATCTGTGTTCATTGGTTCTCTGAGGAATTCCCCCTCTGCCTCTTATTTGTCTTCAGCCTGTGCACTAGAAAGAGAAACAGAGGTGCAAAAATCCATAATTAAAGCGGAGGGAAAAACTTGTAAGACTTTGAATTGCAGCCATGGCATAGTGCTCTGCCCAGCAAGCAAGTCCCCGGCGCCCGAGCTCTTCTCTTGGCAAGCAGAGCAGCTGTGAATGTAGAGAAGTAGCTTAACCCCATGCTTTGCTGATAGACTGGTTATGATGTGCAGGGAATTCTGGCATGGAGCCTATGAAATTCCTTGGTGCAGAGATCCAGGAGCCTATGAAATTCCTTGGTGCAGAGATCCAGGAGCCTCTAGCATAAGAGGGGTGCTCTGTGGCACAGATGTTTTAGGCCGAATCCTGAACTTGGAAGCGCTACCGCTCACTTGGGTGCGGATCATGTGGCCGGAGTTTAGTCAGGGGCTTCTGAATCACCACGATGCTGGCCTTGGGTAGCAGAAATGCTTATTAGAATTTTCTGTAAAGCAATAAAAGACTATGAGGGTTCTTCCAGTAAGTTCATAATTAGCTAAACCTATTTAAGCTGTTGAGGGGGATAATTTTGGAGAGCAACTGAGCTTGAGAAATGGGAAGGGGGGTTTATTTTTCAGGCAGTTATTGGACATAAGGATGATTTGGATACATTTTCATTATGGTGCTGTTCATAACTTAATTGTATCACCCCAGTCCTGCAGCTTGGTAGGCTGCGTTTTACTTTGTGGTTTCTGAAAAGGCTGAGGAGGGGAGAGCAGCGGCAGCAAGAGCTCCCCAAGGGACTCTAGTTTCTAAAGCTGAGTGTTCCCCAAAGAAGGGAGCTCGTCCCCGTGCTGGAACCCTCCTCTCGTGCTGGTTAGTGCCAGCGACGAGGCTTTATTGTTGTGAACTTATTGCTAGAACTGAGCCAGTGTTGGGGTTGGTGGCTTGATTCAGCATGGGGGAAATGGACCCAGCCTTTCCTGTGGCCTGTCAGGAACCTTCTCCTGCACCACAGCTCTGCAAAGGCAGCACAGACCCAGTATCTGTCTCATCTTTTTTCCTGCTCAGGTGTTGGTGGGAATCTACTACAGAGAGCCTCAGTATTGAAGCTGCTTCCTCATTGCATCTGCCTTTGGAAATGGGCCCAGGCCAGGGCTTTCTGTCCTTTCTCTGTGGCACTCACATGAGCACTCGAGTGGCGCTTCCTGCTCTCCCAAGGGATGAGGCACAAGTGGCTGTGCTCCCAAGGACACCGGTGTGTGTACAGTCCCAAATGGAAATCTCTGTTTTCCAGGGACCATCAATGTAAACATTCCATCTGTGTCCCCAAAATGCCTTTAGAAAGGAACTTGGTTACATTCCTCCTGTAAGCTGCTGGTTCTTAGTTGCCTCTGGAATTTGCTTGTGAGAGGGAGAGATTTTCAGTGACTTTAGATATAGATGGGAAATGGAGCTGAATCCAGCACTGTTACTGGGCTTAATTTTTGAAGAACCATGAGTGCTCTGCTCTGGACTGGGGACTCCAGGCTGGCAGCCCTTGAGGAAGCTTAGGAGAATCTGGCACTGTATTGGCAGAATCCTGATTAGATCTGAACTCTTCCATTGCCTTTGAGTTCCCTTCACAGCCAAGATTTTAAGCATTATTCTGTTGACAAGCCTGTCAGTTGGCGTTTTAAAGCATTAACCTCTTCGGGAAATAGGCTGCACACTCATGGGTGTTTGGAAAAGTAGCGTTTGGAAGATCTGTGGACAGCATCTGTTCTCCAAGCACCTCCTTGGGTCATTTGCTGCCCAGAAACAGGGATCAGTGGCAGATGGGAGGAAATGAGAAAGTTGCACGGGTCAGTGTGATCTGTTTATCAAGAGACAGCTTCTTTCCTGCTTTCAGATGCAGCTGGAACCAGGATGTTACAAGATTGGGGTCCTTGTGTTTCACCTGATTCTAATAACACAGATGTTGTTTAGCCTTGACATAAAACTAATTGTGCCTTGCGCAATCCTTGTGTGTTAAGGACTTGCTCCTACGACACTGTTCCTCTTCAGCCTGCTGAGCTCTGTAATGCCCATTTAAAGCCCCGAGCAGCGTGGCTGTTTTCCCTTAGCTCATCTCTCTGGGGTATGAGCTGAGCTTGGTTTCAGCCTGTCACAGAAGTGTTCAGGTAAGTGTTCAGGGGCTGGCAACTAGCAGCTTAGTAGGGCAAGACTAGATTATAGTTGGGTTCCCGTAATAGACATTCCTAATAATGCCTCCATTTGTCTGTAGAAACTGTAAAGGAGGAAACTGGAATCACTGGTGCTGTGCAGTTTACAAGAATGCTTTGGGCTGACCATGCAGAGTCTAGACAAAGTATTAGAAATAACACTGCACACTTCAGGTTTCTGCTGGAATCTCATTATTTCTCCACGAGAAATCTTATGAAGTGAGAAAAATGATAGCTACTGGAAAGACTGAATTGTACATGTATTGGTACACTAGCAACTCAAAAGTTATTGCACTCTCCAAACTGATCAAGGTCTGCAAGTGTTAATTAACACCACTTACTGGTTGGTGTTTCATATCCAATCCTCACATGATGAGTGGTTCTTATGACCTTGAAGAAAGCAGAAAGCCTGAGGGGATTTTGGGTCCGTTTGTATATCTTGCAGTGAATAGATTTCATAGCCCAGCAATTGCTCTGGGTACCTTATACAGTTACCTGGGGCAAATTGCCCCTTGAAGCAGGATGGTGGTACCAACGAGTGAGAAGCACTTGGGTGAAAGATGCCTCAAGCAGCTCTTGTGCAGGTTTGCTGGTGAGAACCGAGACTCAAAGGTGGTTTAGAGCCAAAGCTCTGAGAAAGGGAGATCCTGCTTGGTGATGAGTTCCTGATTCAAAGAGAACTCTGGTTTTATGGCCTTGAGTGACTGACTTTCTCTTCTGAATTCTGAAGCGTGTTGGGTTTTGATGGAAAGGATAAGTTAATTCTTTTGTTTCCGTGTTACTAAAAATTCAGAAACGAGTTACTCATTTTGACGATTATCTTTCTGTTTAGCCTTATAGAAAGGACTTGAGGATCTGGGTGGGTTTTGAAATGACTTAGTCTGTGTAAAAGCAGCCTACTTGTCTTCACTCGTTGCTGCATTCACTGGCTGGCAGCACAGATACCTGTTGCTCGAGACAAAGAATCTCTAGTATGGGGGAGGGAAAAAATACCGCTATTTCCTCTGGTTTTGGAGAACTGACCAGAATCTCAAAACAGTGTCATGTAAAGGCCTAAGACTGGGCAGTTAAAACGGTACAAAGGGGAGTGATGGGGAATTTTGTAGATAAAAAGATGGATGCAGTTTTCCCTGGTGGGGTGGCCCAGTGCTTGGGCACTCAGTGTCCCGCGATGATCAAGTTCTGTGCAATATGTGGGGCAAACATTAAAGTCCCATTACAAACTGTAAATGACTTGTAGTGCTAGCTGTTTTAGTCAGCTTTCCTGCAGCCATACAGGTATTGTTATTTAATACCATCAGTATTTGCTCCTCTCGTCTCCACGGATCTAGGCTGAGTTGGGAATATGTATTTAAATAACGTGCTAAGATGCTGGCAATTTGAGAAGAAAGCAGAGACACAAAACAGGCCGTGCAAAGAGCCCTTGGAGCTGGTTTCTCCCCCAACTGCAGATTTGGTGGGAAGCAGGGAAGAGGGGAAGCTCCGCAGCCCGAGTGCTGCAACTTCAATCAAAATGAAGAGCAGTACTGGCCTCTGTTGATCCAGACCCCTGTACCTGCTATGAGAAATATCTGCTTGATTGAAAGCTGCAAATTGGAGCTTGGAGAAGGGGGCTCGCATAATGCACTGTTGCTAAGCTACTAAAACTTTAATGGCCCGTTCTTTATTTACCTTGCACAACCACAGCGAATGAGGATGTGTTTGAAGACTAAGGACAAAGCCCGCTATGGAAATTAGGATTGTGGCGACCTTGCCTTAAAATAAATTCTTTTTTATTTTACAGTAGTGCATTAAGTCTGAGCATGAGTACTCTTCATGCTTCTGAGTGCTTATGAATAGGCTGGTCTATTTAAAAGAAACTGTTCTTTTGATGCAGTTGTTAGTGATAGCTCCTATGCTGTTCTTAGCAAACACCCAAAACTTGAATAAGTACTGAGCAGGGGGGAAAGTGCAACTGTTATTTAAATTTTTAGCTTGATTAAATGTTAAGAACCTGAATAACATGGAAAGCTTCCTTGCCCTGAAGGAGAGAGAGCAGATGGGAGCTGTGTCAGGGATTGGGCTTCCTTTAAAATTGCCTTTTTTCTTAAGCAGCAGCTGAATGCCAGCCCCACTTTAGTAAAGAGCTAAGAGAAGCTGAAAGGACAGAAGGCTGATGCTCCTCAAACTAGATTATCAAATTCTTCAGTAAAGCAGCCCAGGCTGTCACTATCAAGCATGCTTGGCTTTTCAGCTCTATAACTTGTAACAGTGATTTGCTTTTATTTTGAAGGCTAACACTAACTTGTTTTCTCTCCTGGCAGCCTCCAAAGGTAAAATGCATGACAAGAATCTGGCATCCGAACATTACAGAGACGGGAGAAATCTGCTTAAGGTAGCTACAGCTTTCTGCTTTTCACTTGAAGTCTTTGCCTGTGTGTGATAAAATACTGTGTAACTTTTGAGGCAATGTTTAGTGTCTCAACAGGTGCTGCAAATCAAATGGGTCAGGACCCTTGGGGACCCAGGGAATTCATTGTTTCTACTGTGTGATAGAGACCCTATAAATTCCCATTCTTTAAGTTTGGACATAAAATGCTGCCTAGGGTGAAAGCATGAACTCCAAGCCTAAAGCTGGGATGAATTATCCTCAGGGAGAGGGCTTAAAGCTTTGCTTATTTAATGGCTATATGTGTTAAGTACTTGATAACCATTTAGGTTTTCCACAGTGGGCGGATATCTGGAACTGGGCATTAATGACTTTATTTGCCATTTATTTGTTCTCACACTTTATATCTGCTATAAAACACGTGCTAGTTAGAAAAAAATATAGGACAGGATGTTTTTTCTTTAAAATGGGGGAGGGAGGAGGTATAAGTTAATGTGAAGGCCCAAAACTCTCTCTTAGTAAAGTAACAGATTTGCTGCTTCAGGCTCTTGCACAGTAGCAAATGTTTCTCCTTCAAAATCAGCTTTTGAATCTTTTTAATTTGAGCATTGCATCACAAGTGCCTCATGGTGAAATTGGCCAGAAACTAACCATGAACAGGAGTGAGAAGCCTAGCTGTCACTTTCTTAAGTTGATGGGACGTAAACAAAACAAACGAAGCATAAGCAGTAAAAATAGCAAGCTGGAAAACTGTTCTGAAAATCCAGAGCAGTTGCCACCATGTGGAGCAGATCAATGTTTTCTGAAGAAAAAACATTTTCTAAACTGCTCTTTTTCCTCTAGATGGAAACACTCATTTTACAGTTGTGGTCATGATAAGTTTTCATACCAAAGATTGTCATGTCTTTTAGGGTTAGCTTCAGCTCTTTAGCTGATAACAGGTACAAAGCTGGTTAGTGCAGGTAGATGTGCTGCTATCCTGTGCATTCTTCTGAGCAGCTAATCTTCGAAGTAGAAGAGACAGCAGGCTAGGAAGGGCACTGAGCACCTGCCTGCTCTGATCTGCTACAGCTGTCACTGCAGCAGCAGTCGAGTCAGTGGGGCTGGGATCCCTAACTTACCCTTTAAGGAGTTAATGATTTCAAGCTCCAGAAAAGCTCTCACACCCCCAGATTTCTAAGGCTATCTAGCTAATGCTCTTTAAGAGAGGTGGTTGCCCACTGTTACTGGGATTTCACTGCTAGCGATATGGGAAACCTGTTTCAACAGAAATGTATTACTGCTTATAGCAAATTTACTGTCCAAACCTGAACAGTTTGAGTGCCTCCCACCGCTGTTGCCCTTTATGCAGTTGAACTGTTAATTTGACAGTGGGAACACAGATTTAAGGATTACTTTTTTACAGTTTAAATTCCTCCCAAGTCCTTGTCATTTAGTCAAAGGAGAGAACTTGGCTGCTTTTAGTCAAAAAGCCAAAGAAAAGACTGAATAAGGGAGCTATTTGGAACCTGACAAGGGGAAATACTAGACACCAAAACATAGGTAGAAGGTTAAGCTTTGACTACAGTGCTGTATCTTCAGAAGCTAAATGGATCCTCCTCATGTTCCTGAGGATATTTAGGCTTCTGGTCTTAAAATGGCTTTAGTTCTGACGGATGAACTTGGTATTTGATATGAACATCATAGTTCTACTTTGTGAAGTGGTTGCTTCAGAATCTGCTCTGAAGCATCAGCTTTGTGTTGGATACTTCTAATATATTAAACCTTTAAAATATCTGAGAATTTATATGGAAAAAAAACTAAAATAACCTAGACTGCTTTGTGCCTGTTATAATGGAGAATGCCTATGTATAGTACCTGCAATCAATGTCTAGAAGAGTCTTTATATAAAAATAACTTCAAGTATTTTTTTAAAGCAGAAAAAATCCTGATCAGTGTTTTTTCCAACTTTCTTTAACTATCCTTGTGATACCATTTTGGTTTATGCGATCATCATACCACAGTCTAAACCCAGCAAATGATTAAACTTGCATCAAGTATAATTGTTTTGGGTAGGGGAAGCCTTGCTTGTGCTGCAGGGGTTGCAGTCAATCAGTTTAGATCTCAACCCCCCTTGTTGGTATTGTCTCCATGGGTGAAAAACATCAAGGTACCAGCCACAGGAACCTCTTACGTATTCCAGGTGTCTCTTTTCTTGAACATGTATTACATGTGCCCCGTGGTGTTTTTTCTTTACTGATTTGATTTCTTCTGCACAAGCTGTTAGAATAGTGTTTTCAAGCTGCATTGGCAAGGCCACATCAGGAAGATGGAGGAGAAAGAGAAGACTGAGCAGGGAGGTAAGCGGCTGGAGGAGGAAGAGAAGCCCTCAGAGTTGTCCCTGCCAATGGAGGGGTTCAGAAGTAGATTTATAGACTTTTAACTCACCTGCAATAATATTTCCTAATGTCAAAAGGAAGACAAAAGTGTACTGTTGGAACTGACATTTTATATTGATAAATGTGTCCATCTGAGATCCTTAAACTGGATTTTCTCTGGGACTGATTGCCCCCTTTACACTAATTTTTTATTTCCTTAGGCTGTAAAACATGTCAATTTGAGTTCAGAAAGGCTTACATTGCCAGGACCATGCAGTTCCTGCTTTGGCAGAAGTTTGGGAAGGTCTCTTCAGATACGTATTTAAAGGCAAGAAGGCTTTGAAGAAATTTTCCTTATTCAGACATTAAGTCATGAAATAACTGGAAACTCATGACTGAACAGCTGTCTGGTCACATCAGTGGCTGCTTTGGTTACTATACATCCAGAAATAGCAATTCTACCATCTTCCCCTAAGAAACCAGCATGTTTGGAAGTCTCATTTGTTTTGGGAAGTCTTTTTAGGGATACAGATGCCAGATATGAAGGTGTGGTTGTCTGTTTTGGCTTTGGCCAAGGATGCCTTTGGCTTGTCAGTTCCTCGCTCAAGAGAAAGCAAATAGGAATATTCTTTGTGTCCTTCCTTATTTTTTTTGTCAAGCTCTGTGCTTGATAAGCTCCTGTTTGTACCACAGCGCTTACCCTCTGGTTGGCCTTGTCATTTCTTCCTCAGAGAAGCAGCTTCATGTCCCCAATGTTGCAGAATTGGCCCATCCTTCTCCTTATGGATGCAAAACCATTCTAAAGCATCCCAAGGGAAGCGCCTGAAGCCTTATTTAATCTAAACAGTAGATAAGATTCCTGGCACATTTGCACAATATAGCAAAGTCTTGGCAATTTTAGCATACTCAGTGCAAGTAAACAGGTTTTCCCATCCATCAGGTGTCTTGAAAACCCTTGCAGAGCAGATGGCTTTTGTGGCATATCTAGAAGCTTGTCAAAGGAAGCCTCTTAAAGCATTAAGGAGGGGGGGAAACATGTTTGCCATTCAGATGTCCCCATAGCTCAGCTCTATGGCAGTGTGTCCCCAGAGGGACAGGCCTTTGAACAAGTGTGCAGGTGCCAGTTTGTTGTGTAATTCCTGGTATATTTGACTTATCTCTGCTCTCCTCAGGGAGTAGAGATGCTCTAGACATCCAGAGGAGAGATTCTCTAGACATCCAGAGCAGGGAAGAGGTGTCGAATAGGGGCATGATGATCATTCCCATCTGAAGGGAGAAAGAGGATGCTTCCTGGAAGTGAATTATATCAGTAAAGCAATAACAGTAGAAAAAAAGGTTGCTTATTTATCTTCATGCCTTGGTTGCTGGAGCTGTCTGGGGGGATCGAGTGTGTCAGGTTCTGGCTGCCAATCTTCCCTAGCTGGAGAGTTGCCTAGAGAGCTCTGAGCCTTTGGGAAGCTTGAAGGGTGTTAATGAGGCTTAGCTGATACGTTCAAGCACTTTGAGCTCTATCAGTGGATATTTTTATGCTTTTTAAAAATATTTTAGGGGTGTGTGTTAACTTATTCCTGGTTCTTGTATGAACAGGCCAAGAGACGGACTGGTAGCTAATGTAACAACATGTTTTGAAGGGGAGACTAACTGAGATGAAGTTAAAATTATAATCCACTGCTTGCACAAAACCATGAAGTCTTGGCTCGTGCTTTGGTCCACATCACTCTTGCTTTTACTTTTGTGCTATGAACAAAAGCCATAGCCACAATATCCTGTTTTTAATGTTCTTGAAATTAGTTTTGGGCTGCGCTAGTGGTAGTTGCATATTTTCCTTCTAAAGGCACAGAAATGAGCATCACAGTCGAGAAGGATTTATCCAGCCCTGTATTATTGCTAAGATGTTCTGAAGGAAGCATAAAACACTTGATTGCAGGTTAACTCCCAGCCTTGGTGTGCAGACAAGGTGGGATAATCCCAATCACCAGCTTTCCTTGAATTCTGAAACCTTGCGCATTCAGTAAATGCCTAGATAGATATGGTTCAGTCGTTTGTAGCTTAAAAAAAGAATTAATGTCATCCTGAAAGTCAACAAAAGCTGGTAGTTCAAGACAATTTTACTTTAACCTTATTTCAGTTGCAAAAGTCCCTTTTGGTGATGCATTTTGCTGCTTTCCCTCTTTACCAGGTGAGTTTTCTGTCATAGATAATTTCTTAACAGAGGAAGAAGAGCTTGTGAAATGATGATTAAAGCAGTTTTTATACTATTTTCCTTTCTGATTATTACTTTGTTTGCCTGAATGAGTGCGATTTCTCATTTCCCGATCAAGCTCTGGTTTCCAGTAACTATCTCTCATAACTGCTACTGTTTTGATCTTTAAGACCCAGAAATGACTAGCAAACTTGATTCACCTCATTTTTTTTCCTGTTTTTCAACATGTAAGTGGGTTAACTTCTTCACCGGACTTTGTATGCAGCACAGTATACGAAATTTCTACAGTGGCTGGGTATATAGGAAAGTCTATATCTTAATGCTTCTGAATGTAGAGTATATACTTAGAGTTTGTCAGAAACTTTCTTCCTGCAAGTCGTCTTTCTTATGCAGTGCATTTGTGCTCTAATATTTGTGCTGCCTTATTGATTTCCATTTATTGATGGTGTTGACTTTGTCTATAGGACTTAACCCGCTCTTGCACACAGAGTATTTTGATCTTTTAAGTGGGATATACCAGAAGTGGTGGGATGCTGTGGTGTTTGCAAGTCCTGTCTCTTTGCCAGAGACAAGTATGTCCTAAACTGGAGTCCAGGGGTATTTGTGTGCTCAAGAGAAAAGCAAAGCTCGGTATTGGGGCTCTCAAGGAGATTGTGGCCACAATTACTACACTTAAAATAATGTTTTTGGTTTTTTTTTTTGACAAAGCTGAACTCAGATCCAGGTCTGTAATGATGCTGTGGGAGGAATATGGGTCAAGAGTGGCATACTGATTTCTTGGTGCTTTCTTAAGATCCTGGGACAAGATATAGTGCAAGTGGTCTGTAGCCATTACATTGCAGTAACTTTCTTGTTTTCTGAGAAATTTCTGGCAAATTATTTACCTAGCAGTTGCACTGTGTAATACGTGTGTCTTTTTTTCACAGTTTATTGAGAGAACATTCAATTGATGGCACTGGATGGGCTCCAACTAGAACATTAAAGGTAACCATTTCCTTTTAGATGTGTATTGTCAAACTAGATACATCTCCTAAAATGCCAAGGGCTTGCAAAGGGACAGATGAAGCAAACTGCCTCGGAAACAATTGGGGTTTTGTCTTTGAACAGTGTCTTTCCACCAGTGTTGGGGGCAATATTAGTGGCAAGTGCAATGCTAACGGATTATAAAACACTTTGCTAGTTTTAGTGGAGCTGCCAAATAATGGTTTGATTGGAGGTTATGTAGAGCACAGAGACTGTGTGTGAGCCTGGGAAGCCCTTGTTAGTAAGGGTGCTCTGGTTTAATGGTAGGGGTTTTATTTTGCTCAGAAAACAGAAAGAACATGATGTGAGCTGGAAAAAACTAATCCATGACCCTTGTAACTTCCGAGTTGTTATTGCTGGCAAGAGGCTCTCTCTCTCACTTTTCTGAAGCAAAGGAGCTTAGGGAAGTAAAAGGACAGGAGGCATTTGGGGAGAAATACTGTCCAGAGCATAGAGCTAGGATGTAGGTATGGCACTGTCTTCACATCTCTTTCATTCACAATGCTCAAAGTCATAAGCAACACAATTGCATTTACGTGTTGTACAAGCAGGGCTCTCTCGTCTGCTTTAGCAAATTCCGTGGGGATCTAAGTGACTCTGTCCTTTATTTTATCCTGAGTGTCATTTTGCCCAAACTTCCAAAATGTGTTTTTTCATATTTTTATGGATGATGACAAGTCTGGCACTGTAATTGCAGACTGGCTTTAGAAATCAGCCTGTTAGCTGAGCAGAGTTAAATTCAGAATTGCAGTTCCTGTATGAAATAACCTTACAGAGACGGTTGCAAAAGAGGAGTATTTTCAGCTCCAATTGCTCTTGGCTTTGCTTGCATTATTATGTTGCACTGGGCAAGAGTCTCACCTTCACTGAGATACCCTGTCTGGTTCTTAAAGAAAATAAAACTTTTAAAGAAGTTGCACATATCAGAGGTTCATTTCTTTTCAAAAGCCAGTTGAATTTTACCAAATATTTGGGTTCCTTTTTGGCAGCATGAATGAGATCTTTGACTTCTAGTTGTCTATCTGTAAAATCTCTTCATAATCTGCCTGACTTTTCTGGAAACTGAACTAGGTGGATGACAGAAAGCTCATCCAACATCAGCCTCAGGTTTTGTTGTTCCCTGGGATCATGGAAGCAGCACAATGAAAGATCACATTTTATAGCATTAAGTCTTTCAAGTTTCACATTTTTGTTTTCAGGGAGTATTTTAAATGTGTGTAAATGTTGTCACTCTTGGGTTTGGTAGGATATAACCTAAAATAGCTGTTGGGGTTGTTGAAAAGCTGCAAGCGCTATTCCCAGCACAGAGTTTTTGCTTTGGATACACAATGTTAGCAGCTAGCAATGAATGTCTTCTGCAGAGAGTCTGCTCCCTGTAGATCTGATCCCTCATTCCAATGTGCTCTTTGAAATAAGTATTAATAAAAATTGGAGGGTGGGTCTCGGAGGCAAATTCCTGGCAGGCTCTGTAGCAGTTTTGCAGCCGAGTGTTGTCCCTAAAACTTTGTGCATGCCTCCCTATGGGTTTTGTGGATGCTTGGTTAGTGTCCAAGTGCTTGGATTCCAGGCTGCCTGCAGTTTTGAACTGGAACATATGGAATTGTGCCCGTGTATCTGCAGTGAAGCCACACAGTCGAGCTATTTGTTGGCATTTATTAGTTGTATTCTATAACTAGTGTCTACTAATTGTGTGCCACTGAGTTAACAGTGTGTGAGGGTGAGCTAGAGGAAACAGGAACCATGCGATTCAAACGACACATCTCTTAACACTCCGTGTGCATTTGCTGATCCAGCTTTCCTGATTTTAGTTTCAAGTACTTAATGTTGCAGTTGGAAAAGCTGCTCCTCACCACAAGCTGGCAAAGATCTGTGTTTGCACAGTAGTATGAGAGCTGCTGTCCAGTCTTGTCCAGTGCTGGGTTTGAGTATCAGTGTTTTATTCTGTGCTCACTGATAGCAGAAGGCAGCCTGTTTTTGTGGAGGAACAGTATCAAATGCATCCAGTGAAGCACTCTGAAATATCCCTGTTCTCAAATGAATATTATAGTTGGATGTCCATGGCAAGATTGATGGTCCTTACTAACATAGCCACCCTGAGCATGTTAATAAAACTATTCAAATAGATTTAAAAGCCCACAAATCTGCTTTGCTGTAGACTTTCTACTGTTATAAGTTTCAGTATATTAACTATTTAATCTTTCAGTAAGCTTAAGTTTTAGAAGCAACAGCCAAGATTGTCTCATCTTTTCTATCCTAGCGGTGGCAGCAGAGATCTTGAATGAAAATTCTTCAAAATAAACTGCTATGACATTTTTACCATTTGCTTTACTATGAAATGGATAACAACTTGCAGAGGCATTTAAATTATGCCTTTTTTGAAGAAAGTTAACACTTTTCCTAGGCACTTTGTGGAAGTTTCACCTTAATGTATTCTGACAGCATAGAACATTTTTTTTTTTAAATGAGCTTTTTATTGCACTCAGTGTCTTCTCGTCTGTGAATTCTTTGTGTTACTAAATGTGGATTGTTGCCTCCTAAAATGCCCTCCCTCTTACCTGCTGAGGGTTTTGCTATGGACCATGCAGCCTGTGAGCCTCTAGACCCTGAAGAATATGCTATCGTTGCAATTACTGTAATGGCTTCATTTTTAATCTGTTTATACAGAAAACAGCGTTTTAACCCTGAAAAAGACTGGCTATTTTAAAAGTGTGTATATACATACACACAGTTGATCACAGTTGGTGCAATTGTGATCGTTTTAGCCACAGAAACACTCCTGAATTCTCAGATAATCCCTAGTAGCAGGTGGCACCAAAGGGTGCACAGTGTAAAAATGCATGTGATATTTTAACTTATTTAGTGTGCACTTCTAAGCACACTAAGCTTCTAAGCAAGCAGCAAGAGTTCACTTACTTGGTCTCCTTTCCTTTTTTTCCTGCATCATCTTAGTGCTTATTTCTCTCTCCAGATGAGAGCAACCAGAAAGCAGAGGGCTGCTGTTCTAGGCATCTGCGCAGGCTGCCTCAATAGCTCCTTTTCCTCCTGCTTCTCCTCTCTTCCAGGTGGAGAGCAGATAGGTGGTTTTAATTCCGTGCTTTTCTCAGACTTTTATTTCACTGAGGATACAGTCTTGGAGAATTGTATCAGCTTTTTAAGTACCTATAAGAAATAAACATGCTGCTACTGCTCTGATACCCTGATACCTCAATAGTTCCAATTTATAGCTCAAAAGTGCTTCAGTAGCTCCTGTAATTCCTCAACCTGGGCTTCCTAGTACCTTCTTCACAAGGAACATCTTCTGCCTGCATAAGACAGGTCTCACCTACCAGCATTTCTCTCAAATGCTTCTTTTGACTTTGATAATGTTATCCCAGGTGGTTGATTTTTTTTTTTTTAAATCAAAGAAATGGATCCATGTTTTGTAATTACCTCTTTGGTTCCAGCAGTCAAGCTGTTTCTTCTGCAATCTGTAGAGAGCTACAGCTGGAGACTGGTCACTGACTGATGAATGAACTGTAGAAATAATCAGAGCATTTCTGAGCAACTCTAGTCCTGGAGGGCTGACTGTGGTAACATTAAAAATGGTGTTTTTTGAAAAAAGGTGAATGTTCAGGCAATGTTGGGATCACTTTTGCAAGCCTATTCTGATGGGCCATAGTGGGTTGCATAGAACTGGAGTAACTGCTTCCTCTAGCACTTCATTGACTGGTTAGGTATAAATGCATAACTGCAGGTAGTAGGTTAAGAAATATCTTAAATTCAGTGTCGTCTTGCGTTCCTAGGTAATCGACTCTGAAAGGAGTTAAGAATCACTTACTGTAAACTGATTGCTGTTTGAAGTTCATCTGCAAGAAGCTCAGTTTATATAATTCCCATTTTGTGCTAAATTGGAAAATAGGCCATTTGCATCGGTTCTGCTCTTGTCTTCAGGCAGTAAAATTACACTTTGACAGCTGCATGATTTCAAATAATGTAATTACTGGGACAAAATAAATCAGAGGGTCTCTACTTCATTTTTTTTCAGTTACTTTTCACTTCAACCTTTAAAGAAACTAAATTTCCAAAGCTTTGGTAGCAGCCCAGTACTTTTCTATTGTCTTCATGAAAATAGGTGGTCTGCTGTCAAAATCGTATGTGATTAATGTAGAGGAGTATTTTAAACAGATAATAACTGTCACAGCCTTCGAGAGGAGGAAGAGAGCAAACCTGTACGTTTCCTGTAATTCTATTAATTGCTGCTGCTGCTGCTGTTTCCATCTCGCTGGCACCGTGGGAACGGCGCTCACTGCAGCGGTGACGGGAGCGAGACTGCTCTTGAGTTACTCAAATGCCATTTTGTGATGGGTCTCCCTACCCACCTCGATCTGGAAAAGTCACAGTGTGTGTCTTCGTGAGCTGCCACATTAGGAGGGATATATTTCTCCTCCTTATTTTGCCCATATGGGGGATAAAGTGCTTCAGCAAAAGCATGAGGCTTCCCAACTGTGCCAGAGCATGGAGGGGCTCTGGCTCTGCTCAAAGAGAAAATGCAGGAGGGTTGGGTAGAGCTTTGCCAGGAGCTGCTGAATACAAAGCCTGTGTCAGGTAAAGGTCCTCTGAACCTTATCAAGACCACTATAAATAAAGCAGCTCTTGATCATCTGTGCAAGCCTTGGAAGTGGGGAGCACCCGTCAAGATCTCTGCCTCCTTCAGCCAGTTCCGAGCCGCTGAGCAGCAAGGGAAAATGAACCCAGGTACAGGTAGTCTCACAGTGTGGGTGAGTTTCAAGTGCTCCATTAAGCACACTTTCCCTGGGTTTATTGTGTTGTGTGCTTTGAAGGGCTGCTTTTGCCAGCTGAGAACTGAGTGAGGTTGATGGTCATTCAAGGCCGTTTTCTCCTCCAAACTGTCCAGAAACCACGAGGGAGGACAGAGGAGCTGAGCTACATCTGCATTACCACGGCATCTAGCACAAACAAGGGCTGAGAAGGCTAAAGCCCATTTCTGGAATAAGCACTGCTTTCAGTTCAGTGTCACTGTGCTTTGGAGCTTCCCAAAGCATTTGTCCTATCAGTTACTGCATTCTCAGTTTGCCATAGCACCTGCTTCTTAAAGAACCATTCCTGGTTCTCTCCCTGGGTGACTGTGTGATGATTAGTGCATCTCCTGCCATCAGTATTTATTTTCCCTACTCCTTCACAAAATGACAAACACAAATAAAACAGATGCTGGGAAGGGGGAGAGCCCTAGGGCAAGGCTGCTCCTGTGGCAAGCAGGATCCCCTGAGCCCAGTGCAGTGTTCAGCCTCCCTTTTTCCCAAAGGGACATGGCACTTGTGCATTTGTGACCAGCTGAACAAGGGGCTCTCGGGGGTTTCTGCTGAAATAAAGGCTTGTCTGCACCCTGCCTCCCTGGGGTAGCAAGGCTGGGACCTCGAGGTCCCATTAGAGCCCCTACTATGCTGCGTTAATGTACGTGTTTCTTCACTGCCTTCCCTTCTTGACTCCCTGGCTGCCAGGACATGCTCCTCCCTGGATTCCCCTGCAGGCTGATGGCAGGACACGGATACCCCAATGAGCAACAAACTTTGCTGTGTGTTCCCCTCAAAGCCTTATTCAAGTTTTCTGTAAGCAGAGTGGGCACCACAATCTCCCCAGAGATGCATTGCAAAAGGCACAATTTTAGCACGACTGCTGGACCTTCCAAAGGTTCAGGTCTCCTCTAAAACTTGTAGAGGAGATTAGGTAAAGTGCAGTGCAAAAGGGTGTTTTCCCTCCCAATATCCCTACTCTCAGAAGTGGTTCAAACGCCCATTGTTGCTGCCTCTGCTGCTTTCCCTTTCTCCTTCACTGTGAAGAAATAAGCAGCAAACAAAAACCTTCAGAGCCAGTATTTTTTAAAGGGAAGTTAAAAGAAACTGAAAATGGTCTTCTGTGTAGACCTAATGTTATTATACTTCTCTGATAATAAGCTTTTGAAAGTTTTTCTGCTGGAGTACATTTTGTTGTATTTTGATTTTATAAGCCTGCCTTACCAGTTTTGTAAGGAGTGATTTTTCCCTTTTGTTCATGCCAAGACCAGTGAAAATACTTGCACAAATCAGTGTCCTGTTATGACCTCTGCTTCATAAAAGAATTTTCTCTTTCTCTCCATAGTGGCTCCTGACAAAGCCAAATCTTTGCTTTTAATACAATAGCTGTTATTGCTAGCACATTTTTTAAGAATGATTCAGTAGAGCAGTGCAGCACATCAATAAGTACATGATTAAACCGTGCCTGATTTCCCCAAATTGCTGCTTCTTGAATGTGCAGTTTGCGTCGACTCCTGCGCCTCAGCTGGCTCTTTGCGGGAGCCCTCGCTGCAGCGTTGGCCGCTGTCGCCGCGTGGTTCCTTCCGCAGCCCTTGCAGAATTTAGGGAATGGTTTCCACGAGGTCACCCCCGTGCCCCGAGGTGACCCCGGGACAGATGCCAAGGAGTCAGGAACACAAACCACGTGTCTCAGAGGGTGCTCCTGCACGCTGGCTCCTCACAACTGCCTTAGCTCAGCAGAGGAACAGACTGGGATAGCTCCTGTTTTCTTCCCTCCAGTAGAAACTCTTTCCAGCCTTCTCCTTTTTCCATTTGCCAACTGGAGCAGTTCATTCCTTTTCCATTACCCAAACCCTCTAAATAAGCTGCTACCCTTAGTTTTGGTGGGAAGCAAGAGCTGGGGGACTATTCAAGGCATGGGGAGCACTAAGGTGCCCATTCTGCTTGCTTGAGGATCCTGTTTCTTGCATCACCTTATCCCAGGTGCAGACGGTGTTTCACCTGCCACGGGATTTTTGCAAGATGCTTCAGCAAAGTTACACGTGACCTGAGAGGAGCGGGCAAGGAGAGGAAACATTGACAAAAATATTTTATTTAATTGTTTAGCAAGGAAGCAGCCTGCAAACTAAAGATTATTTTTGTTCCTCGGCATTGCATCTTCATTATGCAAAGCTGATTATCCATTATTCCTAGTTCGTAAGCTAAGAAAAGAACGCATAGCCTCTGTGGCATGGAAACATTTTTTCAACATCATGAACAAGCAATAAGTTTTTTAACAGACCAGTTGCAAGCAACTGAGTTGATGGGGAGAAGAATGGAGATGTCACAGGGATACGTCGAGGAGGCAGAGAGAGAAACCAGGGCGAGCTGGAACATTTGGGTCTGGGTGGGATGAAGAACGTTGATTTTCCAGGCTGTGATGAATAGAGGAAGAAGCTGTGCTGGGTACCAGGAGGAGGCAGAAGGAGCTGGCTGGAGCTGCGGAACCATGTTGGGCTGGTCCAGAGGCAGGTGGGAGAGACGCCCGGGCTGTGCCGGGAGCTTTCCGTGCCCCTCGAAGCCCTTCCCAAACGCAAAGAGCATTCCTTTTATTGCAGCTGCATCCTCGGGTTGTCAGAAGCCACCAAGACATCTGTTTGTATAGATGGCTGCTTCTCCCCTCGTTGGCTTGAATAGGTTCAGTTGTTCGTGTTTTTAACGTGCTTTAGCAGCGAGCTTTAGTTTAGTTAGCCTGTTAGATCAGAAATGCCCTGTACATCTCCAGAGAAGTTTGTTTTATGGCAAGCTCATTAGCTGCTTTTGTCTGCCTTGCCTCCCCCTTAAATTAACACATTAAATATACTTTGACAGTAGAAGGAAAATGTTAATTTCCAGCCTTGTGTTTACACTCGCTTCAAAAGCAGTGCTGAGCTCTGCATTTCACACACCCGCGAGCGCAGCTGAGCACCCCGCAGCGAGGAGGTTTCGCAGTGCTGGGCAGCCTCTTCTCTCAGCAGAGGCTGTTTCGAAGGCTGCGTTTCGTGTTTTGTTTCACTGCTCTTGACCTTGAAATGTCGCTGCAGCGGCAGAGTTTTCTCCTCCTTTGGCATGCCCTAAATAAAGCCGTGGGCAGGGGCTTAATGTAACTTCTCACTCCCATTCAATCGACTGAAAAGGGCTGATGGCAAAGGTTTGTTTGCAACACTCTGTTCATCTTCTGACTTACTCGTGTTGACTTGGCTGTGCTTGGGCTCAAAGCGTCCGCGGAGCCGACAGCAGAGCCGCGTCTTTCCCTAAACCCCCTTTTCCTTCAGTACGTGGGAGACTCTGGCTCTCTCGCCAGAGGTATCTGAGATGGGGAGAGGGCTTTCATGGACACTGCTGCATCAGGACCCTGTTGCACATGTTTAAGGCAAGGCTATTCTGCTCCAAAGAGCTTCTCTATGTGGGGCAAACAGCTCTGCTGAAGGCAGTGATACAAAATGATTATTTCTGCTGTGCAACAGCCTAATGATCCTCAGATATTTTGAAGCACTTGAGTCACCAGTGCTCTTCTGCTCCATCCCACCTCCCTTTTTAAACCTCCCAGAGCCAGGCTGTGCTCAAGCTCATTAGAAGAAAGGTCCTCTCATAGTATTAATTTATCACTCCTTTTAATGGACCTAAATGCAGCACATCATAAAGCCTGAAGAGGTGGAAACGGATCAGAAATGATGCTAAGAATTTTTCACACGAACTATTTATGTAATGCTAATGATCCTCTTCATGCTTTCTGGTCTCTTTAAACCACGGGGTCCAGCAACTGAGAATGTTGGTGGAATGATGTGGGGAAGTGATTTGGTGGGATTTGTGTTTGTATTTTGAGATACTCTGTTTGCTGGTGTTGGGTGCTGCTCGGGCTGGCCTCCCTTCGCTGGTGGGGGCTCTTGTAAAGCCTGTAAGTCAGTGCTAGGAGGTGCCCACCTCAAAGCAGATTGCATTTGATGGCAGCAGTTGAGGAAATGTTGGAGACACGTTTCTCTTGCAGCTTCTTATTGGCAGCAATTACAGGCCCTCTCTGTTCAACTATGGAAAGCTGATAGGCAAATAAATAATTTGAGACATATATTCTCACAGAGAGGGTGTCATTGTACTCACATTACGCCTAGATCTGCTTTCTCTGCTGTTTCACAGAGCTTCAGGTATTTGCCTGACACTCTTTTAATTTTAAGAACTGATGGTTAAATCAAGTTTTGTACCAGTTCTTCGAGCTAAGGGCCACAGCTTAATTTGGCAGTAGCAAATACTAAGGTATTATCCATTTCCTTAGGGAAGCAAGAGGAACATCCTATACGCTCAAAAGGAATCTGAGCTTGTATTTGAATATGCAGGATTTGGGGGTTGGTGATTTCTAAATATTAGGCAATCCATGAAATAGGGAAAGTTTTCAATACCTGAATTTAACCTAATAAAACGTAACTCTCAAACTAGATTTGGTTTTCCAGTAATTTCCTGAATGAGTAGAAATATGTCAGATTGTTCAAAATGACTGACATGCATATCCAGTAATTGTGCTTTTCTTTTACAGGATGTTGTCTGGGGATTAAACTCTTTATTTACTGTAAGTAAAAGCATATTTTTGCATATCCACTTCCCTTTCTCCGCCTGGTTTGGCCTAAGCCTCACCTAAATGAACCCAGCCTGCTGCCTCTTGCAGCTAAGGCTGTTATTTCCCTTGGCTTCTGTGGGTATCGGATGAGTCCCTGGGTAAAATCAGTTAGTGGTTTTGCTTGAACAACCGCAAAGCTTGTGCAAGGTCCATCATGCCTTTCCTCCCCTCTTTCGACTTTTGGTTACACATCTCTTGCTGGATATTTTCATAAAAAGATGCTTGGAATCTTCCACGCACGTGAGTTTTCTTCAGCTGGTTTCCAGGAACTGAAACCACGATCTTCTGCTGAAGGAGTTGCTGGGATTCTGGCTGTTAATGGTGAGGCTCAGTAGTTAACGACTGCCCTGCAGCCTCTTTATTATTTTTGAACAACTGCATCCGTGTTCAAGGGCTTCCATATTCACCCACAGGATTTGCAGGAAGCCTGAGCAGCCACTGAAATGGATTTCCTTCGGGAACCCCATATCCCCCCTTCTCCTTGGATCCACGGGAGCAAGGAGCAGCTCGGGAACGTGGGAGGTGACAGGATCTGCCTGCAACAGTGGCCTTCGCCCCATGAGTGGAGGGAGGCCAAGTCTTTCCCGTACAAAAAGCTGCCTTTTTTTAGGGAGCCCGGAATTTTGGTCCCCTTCCAGCGCTGTTGCTGCAAAAGCTCAGGGGACAGCAAAGAACGGCCCGGAGTGGCTTCGCTGCCAGGATTTGCCCTGTCAGTGGCTCCGGTGGGAGCTCCTCGAGCCGCTGCAGTGCCCACAGGGTCGCCTCTGAATAATTTTGCTTGAGTTTGGAGACAGAGCAGCACCATCCTGCTGCCTCCTATGGCCAGGGCTCCCAGGGCTTTCCCAAAGCCTCGAGCACAGGCCGAGCCTGGCATCAAAAGGCTGCATTCGCTTCGACACCTCCTTTAGTGACTTGATTCAGCGAGGCTGGAGAGCGTTTGCCTTTTCCCCAGAGCGTCACTGCCTCCTGCTGCATGTTAAATAGCGGCCAGCCGGCGGGATCCGCTGCCACACAAAGAGGTCCCTTCAGTGGGGACCGCCCTGAGCTGCACGCAGCAATAACCTCGGGGAGAGCAGCTGCCGAGAGGGCTGGCAGCGCTCGGGAAGCGCGGGATGCGGCGGCTCCATCGGAGCCGTCCTGCCGAGCGGGCTCCTGCCTTCCCCTCAAGCCCAGCTGCTCCGAAAAGCCAGGCGTTGAAAAACCAGCGTGACCCTCTTTCTGGAGAGAAAGGCATCATTGTGCACATGCTTTCTGTTCTAAACTCTAGGCGCTGTCTTCTTCCAAAGTTAAGCCCCATTAAGGTGGAACTGGTAGCCCTGAGAGTTGGTTGGACTATTCTGCTCTCTGCCCCCAGCCTGCCCTTTTATCTTGGGGTCTTGGCACTCCTTTTGCTTCACTGTAGACCCGCTTATTCCCATTTCACTAAAACTTTGTGGTCTGCCAGGCTTCACATTATGGAGTTTGCCAACAAATGAAACAAAACTGACTTTACTACATGGAGGTGGCGTTAAGAAAATTCTCACTCCTTTATCACTGGGCAGTTCATAGGTCTGAACTTTTTGTTAATGGTGCACGTCAAAGAAAGTCAGCAGGATTTCTGCCTCCAGAAAATTTGGATATTCCCTAAAAAAAAAAAAAGATTTGAAAATATCTGAATGTTTCAAATCCGGGTGCATCACTGCCACAGAGTGTCAAGGGGCTGAGTGTGGGGCAGTGAAACAGGCGGGTTTGCCCCTTTGTTGATTTGTGAGCCGATTTACAACCACCACACTCATGTATTTACCTCTGGCAGGAATATCTGGGAAGGTGGTGAGAAAAAGGAGCCACACCTGCCGCTTTTCTCTGCTTTGTTTCCTTGTGTTTTTCATAAATTCTCTGGATTTTCTGCATAATGCACTGAACAGTAAGGGTAAAAAAAACGTTGTTTTCTCTGGTTCTCTTTCAGGATCTTTTGAATTTTGACGATCCTTTGAATATCGAGGCTGCAGAGCATCATTTGCGTGACAAGGTGAGTCAGTGGTTTATTTAAAGCGGCACTCTGGTCCTAAGTTGATCCTTTTATAGTGTTTGAGCTGGTACTTTAGGCAAGGGAGTGACTCAGAATATCAGCAACCAGTTACTCAAACAAAACCTGCTTTATGTGGAAGGACAGACCTAACGCTGTAGTGTAACGAGCCGTATGCTAGCATTGTTGATCATAATATAAACATATTTGCAGAATTGTTAGTATTTTTCTTCTTCTCTCAGAGATTTTCCCTGAAGCTCCATATGTTGTGTGAAGCAAAGGATAGGGGATTTTTTTTTGGCGCAGTTGTATGAAATGGCTTTTACCTGCAAAAAGAGCTCATCCTTCTCTATCTCTTTCAAAATACATTTTCTCCTTCACAAGTCTTATATGGTGCGTGTGCTAATTAAGCTGGGAGAAATTTGAGCACAGTGGAAAGCCAGAGGTGAAAATTTTCCAGTCTTTGTAGTATTTTTATTGGTCCTGTTTATTCTTTGTGTAATATGGATGAGACAGAGCAAAATATGGAAATCACTAGTGGCCCAACTAATAAGCAGTTTGGAAGTGTGCCTCTCCGCTGAGATTGAATGTGGACACAGAGGTGAGCAGAAATAATAACTTTACATGGGTTGCTAAAGTTGCACATCGCATTATATGGGTGCCTAAAGCACAGGACATTTACATTGGTGTTGTTTTTGCTGAAGGTCTTAAAGACTAGAGAAACTTTCCAGGTAAGTGATGGTTTGAGGAGTTCACTGAAAATGCCAAGTCAGCCAGTGCCCCGAATTTACCTCTTTTTTTTCCTCTCAAGAGGAAGCATCAGGATTGCAAGGTTAACTTTCCAGATGTTTCTTGTTCAATAAGATCTTGTAGCTAGTGTTAGTCTTCTCAGTGTCTGCAAAGCTGGGAGGAGCTGGTTAGCCCAAAGAAGGAAAAATTTAGTTAGCACCTACCATATGAGAGGTTTTCTTTGTCGTTTTATTATACCATTTTGGCAAAGAATAACACCAGCAAAACATGGTGTCAGATATGCTGAGACTGTGGCTCGTGAGGCTTATCAGTGCTGCTAATAAATGTAGTTGTACCTCATACTTGGGAAGCTTGACAGTCTTCCCAAAGAAAGAAACACTGAGAGATCACTGTCCTGCATCTTCCTGCTTCCTTCCAAAATCTTAGGAATCCTAACCAAAGAAGGCTGTAAACTGCTTTTAAAAAGTGCTTTTAAAAACACCCTCCTCAAAAGGAGGGAGGTGAACATTCAAATTACACACTGCTACACGAAGAGCATGGAAGTTTTATGAACAGTTGGGGAAAGAAGCCTTAAGGGGAAGCTAGGAATATTTGGTCATCTTCTGAGTTAGAAATATTCAGTGTAGAAACTAACATTTTAAAATTTATTTAACTCGAAATAGATGGAGTGTCTCTGTCATTTGTGTTCTTCCACATGAACTTTTGTTGTTGTTGTTATCTGTGTTGAGTGCTCCGTGAGTTTGGTGCTAAGTCACTGACAGAGTCTTGTGCTGCTGAGGTTTTACCAGGCCCTGCTGGATTTCTCCTGGGGAGCATTGCCTAAAGAAAGCAGGTAAAGCCAGCAGCCTAGGGAGAGGAAATTACATTGCTGTTACAATTAGCCTCGAAGGTTATGAATGTAGTTGGTGTTACCTTTTGTCCCTCTAGGTGCAGGTATTAGCTTATGTGCTATATATAGAGAGAGAGAAGCATTTTATTATGAAGTGAATTTGCTGTGGCCCTGTCCCATCCTCGAGAAAATGCTTGTCATGCACAGCATGAATACAATGTAATGCACGTGAGGTTGGGAGTTTTTATGAACTCCTCCTGGGATGTCTCTACATGCGGAATGCAAATACACAAATACTGTATGGATAGTATGCATGCATGCACACAAGCACCCCACCCAACGGTATACACATGTGCAGTGACGTAGACGTGGCTCTGCATACCAGTGCCTGTGTGCTAAGGATAGTTGCAGGAAAGGCCATTGCTCAGGGACAGCAGGGGAGCGTGTGGCTTGTGGCAGGCGCGGAGAGGGGACGTGGAGGGCACTTCTGTGGCGCTCCTGGAGGGCAAGGTCAGCGATGCCCCCGCGAGGCCCGGGAGAGGCCCAATGCGGCTGCCGGAGAGGGTAGCAGCTAAGCTGAGACCTGCCTCTGGCTGCTCACGTCACAAAAACGACGTCTGTGCCGTTCCCTAGGCTGGATTAAGATATCCAAACTGATTGCTGCCTTGCAGAGTTTGGGGGAAGCCACACTGAGGGGCACACGGCAGCTGTTGCCTCCTCACTGCTCACGAGGGGAGGACCATTCTGCGGGGATGTTTGTACCACACAGCAGGCTGCCAGGGACAATTTTAATCTATTCCTGCATAAATACGCTTAAAAATCTTGGTCAGTGTTACAAGATACTGCTATCTTGTGTAACATATATTAATTTTTTAGAGACAGGACCCTCTCATTTGTGTGCATTAAGTGCTGCTGCTCAGGTGGTTTCATTGTCACTGTAATCAGTGACCTGCAGATCCTGTTCTCTATCCGATTTCCCCTGCCTTTGTTAAACTGGTAGGTGCTTCAGATATAATACTATGAATTTCGTGGTGTGAGGTGTTTTCTGTTGATTCTGAAGAACAGCTCAGTGGCCAACTAGCCAGGGCTGCCTTTCATTTCACAGCAAAGTCTGTCTGGCAGTAGTTCCGTGCAGAGCCAGAGCAGCTGATGGGCAATAGGATCTGTTCCATGGATTTCTAAACAGCAGCAGTAAATATATACATTTTATTGACTTTGTATTTATAAATGAAGTTGAAAAAGATGCAGATTTGTTGTGGTGAACACTGAAAAAGAGCTGCGTTGATTTATTTTCTGTGGTAGCCAGAAGGACTAAATATAGCAAGAACAGCAATATGCCTTGATAATACAAACCCAAATGAGCTTGGTGGTTCAAACTTTTGTATTTCTTAGCCAGAGGTGTTTTGGATACTGCACCTACTGTTTGTCAGTTGAAATCTAGAAAATACTTCTGTGCAGACATGAATCCTGACTGCTTGGGGATGTCACATCAGTACAGTCCTGTTGGCTGCTTTCCTTAAAAACCACCCCAGCCCTTATATTTCCTATTAAGACATTTTACAGCTGTATGTTCACTGCACAACAAGATTCGTTGCACAGTTCACGTAGCTGAAATAGGAGACATTTTTCTAAAATACTCCTTTGCTTTCTTCCAGATCAAGCCTTGCCATAGCATGGATGCTAATACCGTATCCTATTTTAACTCTAGTCTCCTCCTGTGATAATTTAAAAGGATATGCAATTTTTGTCATCTTACAGATGAGAAAACGCTCATTTACTTGTTGATCCATGTGTCAATTTTGAGTAGTTTCATAGAAGAACCTGAACAGCCTTATCACCCAGCGTTATTTTCCTTTTTGAGTTTCTTTCCCATTGAAACTCCTTCATCAGTATTGACTGTATGGAAATGTATCCTGCTGTGTCATTCTTGAGGGGTAAAATAGCTGGCTGTCTGCGAGGTTTTTTCCTTGTGAAAAGCTCTAAGGTCTCTTCTTTTGTGTGACTTCTACAGACAGCTCTGAAATGCCAAAGCTGAGCAATCTGGCCGGAATACATTTACATTTGCCAAGGGTCTAGCGTAAATACAAGTTTTTCTGCTTAATTGAAAGCCCTGATTATATCGAAAGCTTCCTTGGAAAGCAGTGTCATGTGTTGCTGGTTATAGGACCCAGGACTTGCTGAAGAGCAGGAGCCTCGTGTCCCTGCCCTGTCTCCACAGAGGGGGCAAGTGTGTCCCTGGGAGAGCATTAAGGACACTCCAGAGCTCTGTGATGCTGCTCGATACCTGCTCCCGTTTCCCAGGTACCTGTTGGGTTTTTAGGAGCCCCTGTGCAGAAGGGGCCTGGGATTTTCTTTTTGGTTTTCTTGTCATCTGCCACTGTCAACCAGATGACTTTGACTTGTTCCCCTGCCTTTCCCACAGCTAGACCAGGAGCGAGGCTTGTAGCTGTTATTGTCATACTGTAATGATGAGTTTTTTCACGTTGGTTTCCGTGTAGGAGTTTGGGCTTAGCACAGTTTTAACTAGAGCTATAGCATTTCTGCATTTGGTAATCACTGCATTTCCAGTTCCATCTGTTCTCACGTAGCATTATACACTGTTACGAGTCTGTTAGACATCATTGTGTTTTTACACTAGGAAAGATGCTTGTAATTTTATAGGAAGACTAAGGGGAAAATTTGGGAGAGGAGTGGCATATGTATATAACATTATGCAGTTAAATGTGGCTGTGGACAATTTATTATCTTCTTGCAACTCTCTTGTTTCTTTAATACGTCAGCCGTGCGGTCGCAGCGCTGTTTCCATCTGGCCCCACCATGTTACTCGTCCCATAGGAGCCCTGGTGTGTTTGCAGAGGTCTCTGGCAGTGAGATTGGACGCCAGCCTGCACCACCAAGATGGGCGGTCACAAACCACGAGGAAGATGTTCTCGTGCTGTGTATTGAAAAGGGGAGAAGGGATCTCAAAAATCAGGCTGTCTTGCAGAAGAGAGCCCCACTTCCCTGCAGCCGGGGTGAGCTATTGAAAGGAGAGTCCCCAGACCTTTGCCAAGTCTCCTCATTCCACTGATCACATCTCCCAGCCTCTCTTGCCCCTTCCCCTGTCCAGCAGACACCAAGGGCAGTGTTGCCAGCCTCACTTCCTCACAGCTCGTGGTGTGTTTCCATGACCTGCACTCTCAGATAAATCACAGAGTCAGACATCGATTAAGGGTTATGTGAAGACAGGAGTTCCCAAGGAAGAGAGGTGCTGGGACAGACTTTTCCTTGTGTTACCTGCATGCTGCTGTGACAGCTATTCAGTCTTTTTCTTTCCTTTTTTTCTTTTAGCATATGAAAATACATTACTACTTTTTTTTTTTCTTACTGAAGGCTTCCCTTGGTACTAAAGAAAATGTGTTACTTCACTATTCCTGTGGAGATG